TCAAGGAAAACTCTGGCATATCTTCAAGATTATGAATGCAATGCTATCGAAACACATAAATCTCTTCCTGCTACCCAAATCAGTCACTCTTCAAATGCAAGGTCAGGTATTAAATATCCATTATGTAATTTTCTTAGTTTATCTAAATTTTCTCCATCCCATCGTGCATTTGTAGCAGCAGCTCTTGATGCAGGATGTGAGCCTCGTCATTTTAAAGAAGCCATGCAAAATCCACAATGGGTAGAAGCTATGAGAAAAGAAATTAATGCACTAGAAGATAATGGAACATGGGCAGTCACGGTTTTGCCTTCTAATCGACGAGCATTACTTAGCAAATGGGTTTTCAAAATAAAATATCATTCTGATGGAACCGTGGAAAGATATAAGGCACGGTTAGTTATTGCAGGTAACCATCAGATAGAAGGCGAAGACTTTGGTGAGACATATGCGCCCGTTGCAAAAATGACTAGTGTTAGGACTCTTTTGGCTATTGCAGCAGCCAAGCAGTGGGAATTGCATCAACTGGATGTGCATAATGCGTTCCTAAATGGAGAGCTTAATGAACAGGTATATATGAAGTTCCCTCCAGGATTTAGCAATGGAACAAAAGATCAAGTCTGTCGTTTGAAAAAATCTCTCTACGGATTGAGACAATCTCCAAGAAACTGGTTTAGCAAATTGAGCTTATCACTTATAAAATACGGGTTTCAACAAACTCATGCAGATTATACCTTGTTCACATTCCAAAGAGGTGATATTTTTCTTGCTCTTCTGGTTTATGTTGATGATATAGTGTTGGCAGGAAATAATACTCAAGCATGCAATCAAGTCAAGGAATATTTAAACAAGTGTTTTAAAATCAAGGACTTAGGCAAGCTAAAATATTTTCTTGGAATTGAGATAGCCCGTAACAAAGAAGGGATATTTTTGTGTCGACGGAAATATGCTCTTGATATTTTACATGAAGCAGGTCTTAGTGGAAGCAAACCAGCTGTATCTTCTATTGAACAAAATCATAGACTTGGTCTTGTTGATGGCCCAGATATCGAAAATCCTGAGAGATATAGGAGACTGATTGGAAAATTGATTTATTTAAATATTACAAGACCATATTTGAGTTATGCTATACATGTCCTTTCTCAATTTATGCAGCATCCAAAACAAGGTCACTGCGATGCGGTCCTACGAGTGTTAAGGTATGTGAAACAAAATCCTGGTCAAAGACTTCTATTAAAAAGCACATGTGATCTCCGCATTCATGCCTATTGTGATTCTGATTGGGCCTCTTGTCCTCTTACAAGACGATCTGTTACTGGTTATTTTGTTATGTTGGGCACATCACCTATTTCATGGAGAACAAATAAGCAGGTCACAGTTGCACGTTCTTCTGCTGAAGCTTAGTATAGAGCTATGGCAGCTGCTACAGCAGAGTTAATTTGGTTAAAGGGATTCCTTGCGTCTCTTGGTGTAAATCATTCAACACCCATGCAGTTATTTTGTGATAATACAGCAGCTCTTCATATTGCCGCTAACCCCGTTTTTCATGAGCGAACGAAACACATTGAACTCGACTGCCATTTCGTTCGAGAACACATTCAGGCGAACACCATTGCTACTTCACATGTCCGCTCCTCCGCTCAGCTGGCAGATCTTTTCACCAAAGCTTTGGGACAATCTGTATTTCTTGCATTCCTTTCCAAGTTAGGCATTTCATTCTTACATGCTCCAACTTGAGGGAGAGAGTTGGAAGAATATATGCAGTTAGCATGTAAATATATTATGTTTCCTTGTAATCCTAGTAGTTTCCTATTTGATAGCTTGTTAGCATAGTTGTTGATATTGTTAGCATGTTGTTAGCCTATTTTTCACGTACAGCTTTAGGCGATTAGTTAGTTAGTTTCTTTTCAAGTTTTGCTAATTACTTGTATTTATTCTAAGCCTATTTAAAGGCAATTGATTAATGAAACAAACCAATCATTTGGTACCATATTTTATCTATTATATAATAAAAAACAAATAATATGAATAATTAGGCCATTTTGGTAAGTTAAATAAGTTTATTGTTTTCCAAATCATGAAGATTATTTTACTTAGTTAAATAAGTATTTCAAAAAGCCTAAATTGAACTTGTTTGTTAATTAAGTTACGTTAAAATAAACAAAAAATAGGCTAAGCCATATGTTATTGATAGGTTGCTTAACAAATTCTATCAATAATATGAACAAGCAAAAAGAATAACAATTATACACTAAATCAAAAAACTTCATTACTTTTGAACTAAAATAAGATTCACGCAATTATCATGGGTTAGGTTTTGTTTACTTGAAACGGTTAATTAACCTGATGTAATGGCTGGAGTAGTTTACCTGTTGATGCACTCACACTTAAATTAGATTAGCATTTAGCACAAGAAGATTAATGCTCTTGTATCCCAAAAAAGAAGATTGATTGTACAAAAAGAAAGAGTCAATGCTCCATCGTTAGGATTGCATACCCAATGAGTGGGGTTTAACCTTTTAGTAATAATATCTTACTTGTTAAGTTACCCAAAATCATTAGTCAAATTCATAATTGATATTAGTCCATAGTATTTAGAGTCATTTGAACGGGCTTGTAAAAAAAAATTATATTTTATTTATTTTAAAAGTACTTTTTATAAAAGGTGAAATTATTTAGATTTTGAAAAAATATTTAGCTTATTTCCAAAAAAAAAAAAAAAATATTTAGCTTTTAATTTTTTTTAACAGACATATAAACGAATTTTATAATGAAATATATATATATATATTTAAAAAAATAGCTATTGACTTAAAAAAATTCATCCAAACGGATTAGTGATCGGGGTTCAGGCAAGGATCTATGCTTATCGATTTGTAAGATCCAAGTAGCAGTTTAAAACAACTCACTTGAAATAAAAACAGAAGTTAACTGCTCAAAATGTCTAGCGGTAAGAATGAGAAAATTAGTATTATATATGATTAAAAAGAAGGGTGATTTTGTTCAAACGAGAAATGATCATCGACTCTTGGCGAGTTGTTTTCTTGTCAACTAGCACTACAGAATTTTTATATTACTTTTTACAAAAAATATTCTTACAATTTATTAAGTTTAAACAGCCTAACAGAAGTGACAATATTTCTTACTTTCTCTAAGGAGCACTAAAGACTTATATTTTCTTTTAATACTTGTTTTTTTTTTTTAGCTCCACTCCACCACAACCTAGAATCACATTTTATTGGTAATAAGGGTCTACTCTCATATTGCCCAACTTCATTTTTTCTTTTTCCCTTTTTACCGTTGAGAATAACTTTTCATTTTTTATTGAATGTTGGGATCTCTAATCTTTAATAATTTTAAAATGCGTTTAAAATGTTTCATATTGTAAAAACATAATTATCTCTTAAAGAAATATAAATGTATATGGAGTTAAGCAAAAAAAAAATAAAAAAAATCCTACTGTTATATCTATAAAAAATGAGAAAAATTATTCTCATATTATGGGCTTGTGCAAAATAATTAAAAAACTGAACTGAACCATGAACCAAACTGAATTACAGTTAAAGTAATCGATTTTTAAAATCAGTTCATGAACTGAACCAGTTTTTAAATAATCAGTTCATGAACCGAATCGATTTTCAGAACCAGTTTAATAACCGAACCGAATTTAATTTATTTTTAAAAATTTTATTTTTTCTTTTCAAAATAAGGTCGATCCGAACTGAACCTTTTCCAACCAAACCGAATCATTTTCGAACCGAATCAGTTTTGAATCGAACCGAACCATTTCTGAACTGAACCAAACCATTTCCGAACCGAATCATTTAAACCAATTCGGTTCGATTTTTTAAAAAAATCGGGTTCGGTTCGATCCATGCACATCCCTACTCATATTGTTGGAAAATAGCTTTTTCTCTACACATTCAGCGATTTTTGTATATTGAACCTCATCTATGATTGTATCTATAGTAGAAATCTCACCTGTAATTGTGTTTATAGTAGAAGAAAACTACTTTTCTATACTATGAGATTATTAAAGCCCATAAAAGATAATTTTATTCTCAGCATTTAAATCTTTTAAAATTTATTTAATGGAGAATAATTCATTAACAAATTTTTTTTACAAATTCCATTAAATATGACCGGTCATACACTCTTGATCGAAGAATAACCGATCATACTTAATGTAGTTTGTAAATAAAAAATTTATAAATACAATTTTACACTTATTTAATATATGTAAAATAGGAACACAAAATATAAAAAAGAAAAACTCAAAGGGACCGATTACGTTATAATATGAAATGGGGAATGAGAGAAGGGATCATCCTGGCGAGATTATGGCATGTCGCATTTGAGAGGACAATTGATATCCAGTTAGGACCTAGCTGGCAGCAAGGAACGAAGGAAGGAAGAGCCTGCTTCACCTTCATCTTCACCTTCCATCATCATGCCTTTTCTCCTCCCATCAAACCACTAACCAACACGTGTCACCCATCCTCGAACATCCAAACAGGACCACTTTTGTCCTCTTTTCTTGAACCATGAACCCCCCCGCTCCGCGACAACCACCACACCCCTCCTATTCAATCCTCCTCGTTAAACCCAAATCACTTTTCCCAATTTACCCTCATCCACCCCCCATTCACTTTCGCTCCCACATTTCCATGTTGTTAAATTTAAGAATACCTACAGTCTTATCCAAAACCCAATCTTTTTTTTTCTTTCATTTTTTAATTCTGTTTTAAGAGTGAGAATATTCTCACTGCTAAAAATTCTCACTACTAACTTACTACCTATCACATCACTATTGGATCAAAGAGAGAGAATGTTAAAAAGTTTTTAAAGAGAAAGAAAATGTTAATGTAATGGTGATTAAATAAGTAGTAAATTGGTAGTGAAAAATTTCAGTAGTGAGAGTATCTCTTCTTCTATTTTAATAATAAAAAAAAGCAAGCTAACCTTTATAAAAAGCACATCAAAGTAAATGGGTTTCTGAAGAATCAAAACAAAACAGAGTGATTGTAACTTGTAAGAAGAAGAAATCAAAAATCGAAAAAGCATGGCGAGTAAGGGCCAAAACTCCTACCGCTTCCTCCCCACCATGGACAGGGATTTTCCACTCTCAGATTCCTCCTTCGAATTCGACGAGTCCGACCTCTACAGCTCCGGCCGAGCTAACTCGCCCGAGTTTCGCAAACCTGTTCGTGCTTCTCGATTCCACAGTAACTCCGGTGGTGGACGCGTCGGAGCTCCGTCGTCTCTTCCGGTCAACGTCCCGGACTGGTCTAAGATACTAGGGAACGAGTACAGACAGAACCGGAGGAGGAACGACGACGAAGAAGCGGAGAGCGATGAGGAAGATGGAGGTGGTGGGAAAGTTCCTCCGCACGAGTTTCTGGCGAAGACGAGGATCGCTTCATTCTCCGTTCACGAAGGGGTTGGTAGGACTCTCAAAGGACGCGATCTCAGTAGGGTCCGAAACGCCATTTGGGCCAAAACCGGTTTCCAAGACTAGACCCGCAAATAAATTACAATAGAATCACCAAATAGACATTTTTGTTTTTCTTCACTCTCCTTTAAATTTTCCATTTTGTGGAGTCGTTTTATTTTTTTCCATGATCTTCCTACTTGTATAAGAGGAGATGAGGATCAATTATGAAATCCAAATCTGAGAGATTTTAATTCGCATCAATACACGATGTTATTGTTATCAACTTATCATTTCTATTTATGAAATTTTCTTTTTATAAATATTACCTTAAGTAAAATCTTATTTATTCCTTCTGCTCTTCTTGTGTTTATTTTTTGGTTAGCTTTCTTCCATTTCCAGGATTGAACCTTTGTATGTGATGATGATCAAAATCTGAGTGGTGAAATGATGGGTCCATTGTAGTAAAAGTAGTTCAATGATTGGTGGGGTTTGGGTTTTGTCGTAGTTGATGATGTGGTTGGGTTTAGGTTTGGGACCAAAAGCAAAGCCTATGACCCTATGTTCGACATTTGACAAAGACCCCATAACTGTTCACAACCAAAATTTGCCAAGATTGTAGGGGAGGGGGAAAAATGTGCATAGGTAATAAAACGTAGAAATCGGGCACTCGGTTTGTGTTTGATTTGGGGAGTGGGGACCAACGCAAGAGTGATTATTTTGTCACACTTGACAAAAAATTTGACAAAAAAATTTATGAGACTGCCACATCACCTTTAGCCGTTGTTGAAGAAGTCTGAAAATAATTAAGAGTTAAGATAAGATAATGCGAATTAGTTATATTTTCAGACTTCTTCAACGACGGCTAAGGGTGCAGCATGACATTTTAGCAAAATTTACAGTTAGCGTGACAGTCTGATAATTTTTTTTACAAATGTGACAAAATGATTACTCTTCCGGAGACCAACAACTCCGTTGCTCGTCTCTTTTTGCTCTCTGTTTGTTTTTAATAGTCGAAAATTCTGTAGTGTTATTTATCGTTCTGTTTCTGCATAATTGGTAACTTTGTACAAAATCTAACAATAAATAGTGTAAGAGTCACTGCAAAAGTATTCGCAGGCATGGTGCATAAAATCTAATTCAATTTTCAAACAGGGCCAAATGGCTAAATTAATTACCTGTCAGGCTGTCAGTCTAAATGATTATATATCAAGACCTTTCCTCCTTTTTTTTAATCAATATTATATCTATTAGCAATAATAATTGTCTGAGAACTAGTGGTGGTACCAAGTCAAGCAACGTATGCAGAGGATGGTCTAGTGAAATGGGGAATGTCGACATTATAAAGACTTAAAAAATGGTTTTTTTTTTTTTTTTGTTTCACGTCTCAGAATACCATATTCCTTCGATAACTTTGGTTGACTGAAGGTAAGGACAATTTTGTCATTATACAATGCTTTTGTTTGTTCGCTGAGGTCATAATGTGTAATTTTAATTTTTAAAATTTTATAAGTCTAGAATCACTTTGGTTTTTAAAAAAATATTATAACAGTGATTCAAGTTTTTTTTTTTTTCCGTGTAAAATGATGCATAATCCAAGATAACGAACAGGAAAAACAAATGGGGTCTCTTCCATTTTTTCACCTATTCCGAGTGTAAAGATTATAAAAATAATAATACAAAAATACAATGGATTTAAAATTTATACAAAATGATTTTTTATTTCAAAAATATCGAATATCTTTTTTACATCTTCAAGATCTTCCATTCTCAAAATGTCTTCTTGCCTGTTATTCAAGAGTTCTAATAATGTATTTATATTATATCTTTTGAGAACAATTATAGATCCTGAGGGGCAACTCTAATTAGTCAAAAGAATGGATTTTAATGCTATTTCTTCTTTTATTCCTTAGATTAGACCTAGCCAATCTATCATGAAAAGTAAAAAGGGATAAGGTGACTATGTGTTAACTGTTTTCTAATTTTAAAATTTCCTCTTTCGCGTGTAAAAAAGCAATAAATAAAACAATCAAATTCTGGGAGGCTTCATAAAGTGCTTCTAGAGGGGACTCAGAAGGTTCAAATGGGGACAAAGACCAAAATACCACACTATTTATAAAAAATTACTTGAAAGTCATAGATCAATTTTTTTTTCTAAAATGTCACCTCACATAACTCACTATAACACTTGCGAGTTAGGTGTGGACAAGTGGCAGCAGGTTTATGGCCAAGTAAGTCGCTGCACATTGCAGCATGATTACGTGGCAGACAACTTTTGTCACAACGTGCCACGCATCATAAAACGTAAGACAACTTAGCATGTTACGTTTCTGACACGTGTCAAACTCGCTATGCTGCATAGCATGTTACGTGTCAGCTTTCTTGACATGTTGCCGTACATGTTGTGCTGCATAGCATATTATGTGTAAATAGCCTAGCAGTCTAGCATTTTTGGTCTAATAAATTCATCATTTCCTTCCCATTTCTTACATCATTGTGGTCTAATAAATTATAGGATGATTTTAATTATTGAATTTTTTATTTTGAAATAAAATGATTTAAGAAAAAATAATATTGATTTGAATATTTTAGTTTTAAATAACTTATGTTAAAATAATTTAATTTAGGACTGTTAATTTAATTTAACTTAATTTATGAGTGTTAATTTAGTTTAATGTTGGAGTGTTAATTATTATTTTTATTTTTTTTGTATCCTATTTGGGCAAAGAAAACCCCAAACAGGCTAAGAAATAGAAATACAACGAGTACTACTAGTACCCCCAAATCAGCTAAATACAATAATAAATTTCCAGAAGGAGGGGACGGAAAAACACAAAAATCTTTAAGATCCTGATTAGCCAGAGGTAAATTTGAAAGCCAATCAGCACAGCAATTACTCTCTCTATACGTATGCTTACTAACCATTCCCTGTTTCATCTTTACTGACCATTGGAGTGTTAATTAATTTAACTTAATTTAGTTTATGTTAAGTTAAATTATTTTTAACTTTTAAGTAATTTAATTTAATTTAGGAGTGTTAATGAATTAAATTAAACTTATGTTTATTAATTAATTTAATTTAATTTTTATATATTAATTTAGATTATTTTAGAACTATTAATTAATTATTTTTAGCAGTGTGAGTTAATTTCATTTAATTTAGTTTATGTCAATTGAAATTATTAACAAACATAAATTTAATTTAATTATTCCTAAACTAAATTAAATTAATTAGCAGTTAAAATAATTTAAATTAACATAAACTCAATTAAATTAAATTAATTAATATTCCTACAAAAAATTTGATTAATTAACATACATAAATTAAATTAAATTAACAGTCCTAAATTAAATTTTATTTTAACATAAGTTATTTAAAACTAAAATATTCAAACCAATATTAATTTCCTTAAATCATTTTATTTCAAAATACAAAATTCAATATATAAAATTATTCAATAATTTATTAGACCACAATGATGCAAGAAATAGGAAGGGAAGTGGTGAATTTATTAAATAAAAAATGCTGAAATAGTGAGCTACTTACACATAGGGTTGACTCGTAACCCATAAAAAATGAGTCGGGTTGTATTAGAAAAATGAGCTGTAAAACCGAGCCAGCTGAAAAAAAAAATTGAGCCAATCCGCGGGTCAAATGGGCTAGCTCGCAAGTTATTTTTTTTTATAAAAAAATACAAAATATAATATACAAAAAAGGACAAAATCCACACATGTTGTCATCATCTTTCTTCCTTCTCTAAGTCTAAGTCCCTAATCTTCTCACATTGATGTCATTTTTATATTGTTAGGTTGTGCTGGCTTTGTTTAGTTCAAATATCTTACCCACTATGTAGCAAGTGGTTCTGATTGTTGCCTGATGTTGGCGCAAATTTGTTGTTAAGAAAATTCAAAACTAGAACATTTTGCTTTTATTTCTCATTTTGTAACCCTTTTTTTAAGCTTGTGGAAGCCATATGGCTGGTGCATTAATACTACAGGTTCATTTAAATAGGCTGAAAACGAGCAACCCCACGAGCAATTTTCGAGCCAACTCGCGAGCTATTTTTTCAAGCCAAAAACGAACATATCTCTAGGGTAGTTTGATTATCATCATTGTTGGAGAGGTTGAGATAAGCACCACATTGGTGTATTTGATTATTTTTAACCATTATTTTCATAGTGGATTTCTGATCTGGACTAGGTCCCGTGGGTTTTTACTTATTCATTGGAGAAGGTTTTCCCACGTTAAAACTGGTTGTGTTCTTCTTTTCTCTATCTCCTGTTTTGATTTTTTCGTTTTTGATTGTTCCGCTGCGCTGCCTGACCTGGTGAAGTTCAGGCTGAGGTATTGCCGAGATCCGAGATCCGGATCTTGTTGATTGTCTTCCGCACAAAGGCTGCTTAGCCGAAGCTTGAGGGAACCGATATTTCCCAACAATGGTATCAGAGCCCGAGTTCGACGGGTTCTGAGGGAGACGAGATGGAGACCAGTGGCATAACTCATGATGGAGATATGTTCAAGTTGACCGCAGACAACTTCACTTATTGGAGACCGATGATGGAAGATCATCTCTACTGCAAAGATCTGCATGAGCCCATTATCCTTGATGAGAGACCGGCAGGCAAAACAGATAAGGAGTGAGAGATCCTAAGTCGGAAGGCGGTAGCCACGATCAGGAAATATATTGATAAAAGCCTCTTTGAGCACGTGTCCGAATTCACGAACGCGTATGAGTTGTGGACGAAATTAGAGTCCATGATTCAGAAGAAGACTCCCAGGAACAAAGCACACCTGGTTCGCCGACTTGTTAAGCTTGAATACAAGGACGGCATGAGCATGACTGAACACCTGAACACCTACAAAGGTATTGTGAATCAGCTGTCAAATGCTGATATGAAAATTGATGAAGAATTGCAGGCATTGCTGCTGTTGAGCTCGCTGCCAGAAAGCTGGGATACTATGGTGGTGACCCTAAATAACTCGACTCCAGATGGAAAATTGAAGATGGATGTCGTGACAGACAGCCTCCTGGGCGAAGAATCCAGGAGAAGAGAACGAGGTACTTCGAGTACATCTGAGGCCAACGTTGCTGAGAACAAAGGGAAATCTGACTCCCGCGGTAGAAGCAAAAGCCGAGGTAGAGGTCGTGACAGACGAGATAAGTCCAGAGGTCGATCAAAGCCGAAATATGAGTTGAAGTGCTTTTACTGTGGAAAGACAGGCCATAAGAAGCCAGACTGTTGGACCCTACAGAATGATGAATCGGGTTCTCAAGCTGAAGAACAACCGAGATATCCAACTCGAGAAAGAAGACCCTCTACGAGATACCCATCTGATGAATACACCGTTGTTGCTGAAGACGGTGAGCCTCAGAGTTATGGTGAGGTTGTGATGAGCTCAGAGAAGGAAGAATGGAAAAAGGCAATGCAAGACGAGATGAAGTCTCTGCACGAGAATCAGACTTATGAGCTGACTGAGTTGCCAAAAGGAAGACGAGCTCTGAAAAACAAATGGGTCTACAAGATTAAGAATGAAGAGAATGGGCAAAAACCGAGATACAAAGTCCGAATTGTAGTGAAAGGCTGCAATAAGAAGAAAGGAGTTGATTTTGAGGAGATTTTTTCTCCTGTGGTGAAAATGACCTCGGTCCGAACCGTGTTAGCCATGGCGGCTTCGATGGACCTCGAGGTAGAACAAATGGACGTGAAGACGGCATTTCTTCACGGTGATTTAGAAGAAGAGATATATATGGAGCAACCTGAAGGGTTCCAAGCTCCAGACCAAGATGACTTGGTATGTCGGTTGAAGAAGAGCCTCTATGGCTTGAAGCAAGCACCTCAGCAATGGTACAAAAAGTTTGAATCATTCATGACTGATCATAAGTTTGAAAAGACAGATGCCGACCACTGCGTATTTGTGAAGAAGTATGAGGCCAGAGATTTTCTGATATTGTTGTTATATGTTGACGACATGCTTATTGTATGGAAAGACAAATAGAGGATAACCGCCCTGAAAAAGGCGTTGAGCTCGTCCTTCGCAATGAAGGACCTCGGCCCTGCAAAGCAGATTCTCGGAATAAAGATTATCCGAGATAGACAGAAGAAGCTATTGTGGCTGAATCAAGAGAAATATATTGAGAAGATTTTGAAGAGATTTAGCATGACAAAGCCAAAACAGTGAGCACCCCTCATTGTCAGACACATAAAGCTGAACCAGAAGCAATGTCCGAGATCTGATGAAGACAAAGATGAGATGATGAAGGTCCCGTATCGATCCGCCATCGGAAGCTTGATGTATGCAATGGTTTGCACTAGACCCGACTTGGCATATGCTGTTGGAATGGTAAGCCGATATTTGTCAAACCCAGGCAAAGAGCACTGGGAAGCAGTGAAGTGGATCTTCAAGTACCTCCGAGGTACGACCGACTTATGTCTCCGATTTGGAGAAGGCAAAGCCGAGTTGCAAGGCTACTCGGATTCTGATCTAGGGGGAGACGCCGACTCGAGGAAGTCGACTACAGGATATTTGATGAGATTTGCCGGAGGAGCTGTCTCTTGGCAATCAAGACTTCAGAAATGTGTTGCACTATCTACAACTGAGGCTGAGAACATTGTCGCTACTGAGGCAAGCAAAGAGATGCTGTGGATGAAGAAGTTCCTCATGGAACTCGGCCATGATCAAGACAAGTACGAGCTGGGTTGTGACAATCAAAGCGCAATCCATCTTGCGAAGAATTCAACCTATCACTCCCGCACTAAGCATATTGATGTGAGGTATCACTGGATCCGGGATGTGGTGGAAGGTGGTGAGCTCGAACTAGTCAAGGTGCACACTGACCAAAATTGGTCCGACATGATGACGAAGCCGGTCCAGCAAGAAAATTTGAAGACTGCTGTGAAGGAGCCGGGTTGATGATGAAGCCGACGCATTGAAGTCGGAGGGGGAGATTTGTTGGGCTTCCTCCTTCAATGCTAAGCCCAAGCCCATTTGAGGGGTTTCCTAAAAACCCTAACCCTAATTCCCACCTCCTCTATATATACTCATTAGTTGAGGGTGGAGGCTAGGTTAGATTTGAGAGGTCAGATTTGAGAGAACAAATCTGAGAGAATTATTTGATTGTTTGAGCAAAGTTTTATGCTTTGCATTTGAGAGATCTCTAGAGAGAGTTTGAGTGAAACATCTCTAGGGTAGTTTGATTATCACCATTGTTGGAGAGGTTGAGTTAACCACCACATTGGTGTATTTGATTATTTGTAACCATTATTTTCATAGTGGATTTCTGATCTGGACTAGGTCCCGTGGGTTTTTACTTCTTCATTGGAGAAGGTTTTCCCACGTTAAGACTGGTTGTGTTCTTCTTCTCTCTCTCCTGTTTTGATTTTTTCGTTTTTGATTGTTCCGCTGCGCTGCCTGACCTGGTGAAGTTCAGGCCGAGGTATTGCCGAGATTCGAGATCCGGATCTTGTTGATTGACTTCCGCACAAAGGTTGCTTAGCCGAAGCTTGAGGGAACCGATATTTCCCAACAATTTTTTCTTCTTTGTATGTATGTTAGAAACGAACCTGCCAATTTTTTCTAATCTATATCCGTATACGAGTAACAAGTTGAAGCTCACGAATTGCTTCACTATCCGAAGTGAGCAGTGATTGCACTGAAGAATCATTTTCCATGATAACATTATTAAATCTTTCGTTCCAAGCTAACTTCAACCAATGGAGAATGCCCCATAATTTAGCTTTAAATGATGAGCATATCCCAATCTAACTGCAAATCTTATTCAGCCACCTGCCACTCATAACAGACAACCACAAGCCGCCTGCCACGGGTTGCCACGAGCTGCAGCATCAATATTGATTTTGACTACCGCAGGCTCTGGGAATTGCGAATAAACATTAGAACATACTTTACCTGCACCAGATATCATGCTTCATCTATCTTCCACTATTCGTTGCACCTCTAAAGCCAAACTGACAATCGTTTAATATTTTATGTCCAAAGAGATGGTCCCCTCCCATGCTTGGCTATGTTCCTCCAATGCCAAAGTTTCTAGCATGTTAAAAGAAAAGTGGTCAACTATGGGACTGTTGAATAACCATCAACTCCTCTATTGATACTTACTGCCTGCCATTGAAATAAATCCGTAGAGAAAAAAATTGAACCCTTGGAGACAAAATCGAATAATTTGCCCAGGGTTAGACAAAAAGGCAACATAGGGATTGACCCATTTTTTAAATAATAGTTTTTTTTTTTTTTGGACCAACAAGGAAGAAAGAAACAAAACAGAAACCACAAACTAAGCTAAACAGATACGTGGGATAGCAATCCCAACCATATCTTTGTACACAAGCGAGCTACATCGCATGGGCGGATGGTAAAGCAACTGCAAATTCCAATCTTGGTCAAAAGAGTGGGTAGCAAGCCAATCTGCTACTCCATTTCCCTCTCTAAATATATGATGCATTCGAATAAACTATGGTTTGCAAAATAATTCACGAATTTTGTTTACCAGAGGATATAATGGGTGGTTATTCTCACAGCCATGCTGAATTAGATCTTGGACAACTCTTGAATCCCCTTCCAAGTATACTTGCCTAAACGCCCTGCTCCCAGCCTAGTTGAAGACCCACCAATGTCCCCCAAAGTTGAGAATGTGAACCCATCTCATTTTATGATACATATGCATGCTAATCCTCCTTTTTTTTTAAATAAATAAATAAAATAATTAGTCGAGATAGATGAGTTAATTTGTTAAAATATCAAATTAAAAAAGTGAGAGATTAAGCCAATCAACCTGCCTAAAATTACCAATTACATTACAAATAATTATTTTTATACTTAGAACTCATGTTCTAAAGAGAAGTTAATTAAATCAATATAGTACAGTGCAAAACGAAATACTGCAATCCTCTACGGAGGGAAATCTTATAGTTAGTGAAGACTGAAGAGTATCCTAGTTTAGAGGTACTACATAATGACGCTAATAATAACAGGCCCACCCAAAAGAATTTTTAACTGGATCTTAATTAAAATGCACATGGAGGGTTGTTAGTTGAGTAATTACGAGCGAGACTCAAATCACAAGTTCAGTTTCACATAAAACAATTTTTATTTGTACTGATAATAAAGATCAGAATAATAAAGATCAACGATGGAACAAAGTTTTCATGCTAGCATAATGGGTGGTATTTGTGTTGGGTTGGACCTATAGGAAATGTGATAACCCGGCCCGCGAATTTGACGGGTTGCACAGTGGACGCATCTTCTGAGACTACGCCTAAAGCCAAAGCAACTCAAATTCTCTCTCTCTCTCTCTCTCTCTCTCTCTCTCTCTCTCTACAATTGAATTGCAATGAGTGAGAGATGAGTTCACTAGATCATGATTCTGAGCCTCCGATCCAACTCAACTTGCCTCCTCTCTCATTGAGTCTATTCGATGCCGAACCATCTGAACCCAACGGCGTCGTTCGCGGATGCTCCGAACCCTCAAGCCCTAGTAGCAGCGGTTATGCTGGCGAGAGGGGTAGTAGCACCGCCACAAGCGCATCCCCGATCGAAGAGGTCGTTCAACATGAAATCGAGGAGATGACGATCCATGATTCCCAACCTGTCTCGAATAATTCCCCTGCCTCCTGGCTTCCTGGGAAACGACACCTCGATGAGGTATATATGTTGATTCGCAATTTCTTTATCGTGAAATTGATTGCATGTTCTCCTTAGTTAGTGTCAGTGCCATTCACTCGCTATTATAAACTATTGATTACAGTTTCGTGGAGAATTGTGTGGTCATTGCGATTGATCTCATGATTATACTCACTATTATAATCTAAGATGGAGTATATGGTTTGTTCCACAAGCAAATCCGATATTAAACTTAAAATCATTCAACTTTCCGTCCTGAGTCTATGATGAATTTATTAAAAAATTAGAACCTGCAGTGAAATAAGCAATGATGTAGAATGAGGATTTGCTCTTGCACTTAGAATTCTGGTTGCAAGGCACAATTGAATGCATGAGTAGAAAAGACATGGCATGGGAAAATGGGAAATGAAGCTGCATCTTAGCTTTAACGATGATTAAATATTGCTTTTGTTTCAAGCATTGACTGCCGAATTCCAATCAACTGTAATAGATGATATGAGCTATTAAGCAATTCTGGTCAAGTACTTTAGCTTTGTTGTTACATACATTTATTTTCAAATTTATGCCATATGAGGAATTACACTTTCTATGCGGATACCTGTAATATCGTATTCTGTTTGATTAATGAATAAAGTGCAGGATGATGCTTCCATTTCATGGAGGAAAAGGAAGAAGCATTTTTTTGTTTTAAGTAATTCTGGGAAACCAATATATTCTAGGTTAGTGTTTGAACTCCTCGCATAAGCTTTCCTCAATTTCTGTTCATATCTCTTTCTAGGGTTGCTGCCTTAAACTTCATGTACATTCCTCTATTTCTTGTGTCACATCTTTTGTTCGTTCCAGGTACGGAGATGAACACAAGCTTGCTGGGTTTTCAGCAACTTTGCAAGCAATCATTTCCTTTGTGGAGAATGGGTATTGTGGCTATCTTTGTTCTGGTTAATTGTAGTAATATTCCTAAAATATATCTGATTTCTTATTTGAATATAATTTTAGAGGGAGTTTTCAAACATTTATTTTTTCTGTTTTCAGGGGTGACCGTGTCAAATTTGTGAGGGCTGGAAAGCATCAGGTCTGATCAGACAATTTTCTCTCTAAAACTCTTTGTTCATGAATATACAGTTTCATTTTAGCTTTACTTCCATATAAGCCACAACTTTCAAGCCCTCTTAAATATTATGTTATGCAAAATGATGTTTTATTCTTTACTTAGCTTTAAAGTATAAATTAGAGATACTGGATATTTGTTTTGCTTTTTGGCTGCTGAGCTGCATCTTATATTTATTAGTGTTTAGGAGAAAGAGTCTTTTTCTGTTTGGCTTTGCTGGAGCAATACAATGCTTTGGTGTTATGAAATCTTAGTTTGAAGTTATGGTGCAGGTGGTTTTTCTTGTGAAAGGACCAATTTACTTAGTCTGCATCAGCTGCACAGAAGAGCCTTATGAGTCATTAAGGGGGCAGTTGGAGCTTATTTATGGCCAGGTACAATTGAGTTGTACATTTGTATACCTAAAAAATTCTGGATTCATTTGCTTGCTCACTGTTCCTGCTTCTTTGCTTCTCAACGTACTATTACATCTTTCTTTTTAATCATTCAAATGGACTAATTATGTTGCAACAATTATATGATACATCCCTGTTGTTGATACATATGCAGATGATTGTTATACTAACAAAGTCAGTAAACAGATGTTTTGAGAAGAATCCAAAGTTTGATATGACACCCTTGCTTGGTGGAACAGACATTGTCTTCGCTTCACTAATCCACTCTTTTAGTTGGTTCGTTTCTCTGCTCTGAGCATGTCTGGTCTTATTGTATTAAAGGAGAAATGATAAAATCTTTTCTAAAAGATGGGGGTGTTTTAGGTTCTTTTTCTGTAGTCTTCTGTGTATTTCTTTGGTGGATTTGGGAATGGAGGTTTTTTGTTTGTTTAATATTCCTGGTTTCCCAATATCCTATGCTAGGTTGTCAATAGCGGCCCGTAGCGCCGCTAAACCGCTACCGTAACGGGTAGCGGCTGTCGGCCGCTACAAACCGCGACGCTACGCGACATTGGCCGTAGCGGAAGGTAGCGGCGTAGCATAGCAGCAATACCACTACCCGCTACACCGCTACCATGTTGGAATTTGATGGAGAATCCGTAGATGATGATGATTTTCTTTATTAGTTCACTTCTTGTACTTGACTATTTGACAATTTTATTGTTCATTTGTGTTTAATTTTGGATCCTTCCTTTATGTTCCTTGTATTTGACATTGATTGTGGAATTATGTGTTTGATTTTGTGTGACTTCTTATGTTTGAACATTAATACTAAAAGTGGTATTGCCTCGTTTCTTGACTGTTAGTATAATATATGTGGAATTAATACTTCACCGTAGCGGCAATACCGCTACCCGCTACACCGCTATACCATTTTCGGGGTCGGCCGCTACCGGCCGCTAACTGCTACTAACAACTATGATCCTATGTTAGATTTCAGTATTAAGCGTTGTTATTTGTCTGATCATGTCAGGAATCCAGCTACATTTCTTCATGCCTATAGTTGCCTGCCTCTTGCATATGCAACAAGGCAAGCTGCTGGTGCTATCTTGCAAGATGTTGCTGATTCAGGTGTTCTGTTTGCTATACTGATGTGCAGGCACAAGGTTTAACACAATACTAATTTGTCTAGTTATATACTGACATAAAATGATAAAATAACACATTAAAGGTTGAAGGCAGGTAATCAGTCTAGTTGGTGCTCAGAAAGCTTCTCTTCATCCAGATGATATGCTGTTGCTGGCCAACTTTGTTATGTCATCGGAATCCTTTAGGCAAGTAGAACTGGCATTATTTTATTTATCTGATACCATCTCAGAGATGTTTTGATGGAATACTTTATTCTTCATTCAGTCCAGTTGTTTTTTAATGGTATAATTTTCTTTCATTCTGTCTGCTTGACTCATTGTTATTTATCATACATGTAGTAAACAGCTAGGATACTGTGCAGTAGCAATTCCTTTGGTCTTTGGATTTCCTTGTTTGTATCATACTATTTTGCACTTTCTTACACTTTCTTGTGCTATAATTATGCAGGACATCAGAATCATTTTCTCCTGTTTGCTTGCCACGATACAATCCTTTGGCATTTTTGTATGCTTATATCCATTATTTTGATGTGAGTTAGATTTGATTGCATAGAAAATTTGCTATATGTTGTACATTTAGCTCACAAGTAACAGAGCTCTATATGTTTATCTGTGACAGGATGACACATACTTGATGTTGCTGACCACTAGTTCGGATGCATTTTACCATCTTAAGGATTGCAGGTAAATGATGGTTTAGGATTGCTGGCCACTATTCTTGGATTCATTTTTATATTCAAAAAAAGAAAAGAAGAAAGAACATTAAAAGAACAGAATGGTTCATAGCAAAGAGATCTTAGGTCTCTATGTAGCAAGTATCTTTCTTTCTTGCATGACTCAGAAATTTGCCTGCCAATTCATAGGATTCGTGTTGAAATGGTCCTTTTGAAGTCCAATGTCCTTAGTGAAGTTCAGAGATCCTTGCTAGATGGTGGAATGCATGTTGAGGATCTGCCACCCATACCTCGTTCTGGATCATCTGCTCATTTGGGCCAGCACAGGCTTCCATCAGATTCTCCTGAAAGACCGAGGGAACCTAATTATGGCATTGGCGGTGCTGCTGGGTTGTGGCATTTCATATATCGCAGTATATGTCTGGATCAATATGTATGTTCAGAGTTCTCATCACCGATTAACACTCCTCAGCAGCAGAAAAGGTATTAATGTCATGGTAACTTGTTTGCTTTTTATGCTGCTACAGCCTTTTTCTTTTTTCTACATTGTTGTTCATGTGAGAAGCATAACCCGTCTTTATTGCTGCAGACTGTATAGAGCTTACCAAAAACTTTTTGCATCCATGCATGATAAAGGAATTGGGCCACACAAAACTCAATTTAGAAGGGATGAAAACTACGGTAATGAATATTGTGATTTATACAGCGTTAGTTATTGTACATCCAAGAGATAGATATATGTTTTTATTTTTTATTTTTTGAGTCATGTTAACTATTTTGCTTTCATGTCAATAAAAGACAAGGCAATCTGTACATTTGTTGTTCTGCTGTGAAAACTCAAACTAATATGTCTTGCTCCATTGAACAATAATCAGACTAATAAGATATTTTTTATGTGGCAGTTCTGCTCTGTTGGTTAACACAGGATTTTGAGCTTTATGCTGCATTTGATCCCCTTGCAGACAAGGTATTGTTTTAGCTCGCCTACAAGATTTCTCAATTATTTTATCTTTTATGCAAAAAATGTAATGTGCTATAACGCCTATATTATTTATCAGTAGCCAGGTGTAGATTCATGTTAACATCCAATGAAGACCTGATATAAAAATATTAAAGTTTGAAATATAGCATTATGTATCTTTTTCATGTTACAACAATGTCGTTGTCAGCCTTCTATTCATCATTAAGATCGCTGCAGTTGGTAAAAAAAATAAACCCTTTTTGGTCCATTTGATTGGGAAAAGGTTCAAAAAGAGAAGGGGGAGTACAAATTGCATTTATTTTTGTGCTACTCTGGTTGGATAAATTCTGACTATTTTTGCGCAATGAGCATATGCAGGCCTTGGCAATAAAGACCTGCAACCGGGTGTGTCAATGGGTAAAAGATGTGGAAACTGAAATATTTTTGCTAGGAGCTAGCCCCTTTTCATGGTGATTTACTATCAAATGCTGTAAACATGTACGAGAAAGGTTATTTGATAAAAATTCAATGGAATTTTTTCTTTCTTTATTTTCCTTTATTGTATTTTCTATTCAAAAATTATTTGATGGAAAAGTACTTTATTATCAGTTTAAGCATCACGCCCAAAGCATTTCATTATTACGTCGTCATCAGCTGTGGAAATGCATGAATTAAAGATGTTATTGACACATGATTGCTGCGCCTGCATTAGTATGGCAACTTTTATGCGGAGGAGCCAAGAGGACGGAAGATTAGTGTTTGCAGAAGAATCTCTGTTGGGTTGTTACTCTACTTCCAATAATTAGTTTTAAAGCGTAGAGACTGGTTATTTGGATGAGTAATTCTAGTGGACTATTTTCGAGGAATGATGTCCCATTTAAGTTCAATATGATAAAAATTCCATTTAAGTTCAATATGATAAAAAGTCTGATCTGATTCCATGTATAGCTTAGAGTTTAGAAGGATGGTTGTGAGCTGTTGATTCATTTTAGTTTTATTATTTGCATCGGAATATCCACCGAAGATTTTCAAGGGTGGTTGTGTTGAGATTGTAAAGGGGTTTGACGCCCTCTCCTTAGCTTTGCATTTTCAGAGGTGTAGGCTTTATGCAAGCTGGCTTTGGTTAAGCGGAAGACAGTGACATAATGTGGCATGTTATTTTTTGTGGTGGGTTTGGTTGTTAAAGGTGCACGTTTAGTGACTAACCCAACTCATCCAATGAGAGTTATATTTCATTTTGAAATTAACTAGTTGATTTTATTTATGGATCATATGTCAAAATCTACTGGAATTAGCGCACTACTCTCCATTAAATACATACACGAATTTATGGGTGGGCGGGGAGAACAAGGCAATGGATAAACATCTACTGACGCTACGGTTATTTAATTTTTTATTTGGGATGAAAAAAAATATGATGTATACGGTATTTAATATTTAATATTTTTTGTTTTTTGTACTTTAGCACTTCACTGTTAGAGGACCGCTTCCTAGGAAAGCAAGACATTACTAGTACTACTGGATCTTATAACATGGCCAAGAAAGAAATAATAATTGAAGTTTCTTTACTCAATATCGTATTTTATTTTCTCCATTCCTTTTTCTCTCCCCTTATTCTTTCTGTATTATATTAACTATTAAGTAGGAAAGACATTTAGGATCATGATAGTTTATATAATTTCACATCTCGATCGGCATGAGCCTGGGGTAAGAACGAGGGAGGAGCAGAATTGCGCACAAAATCGCTGTAAAATATTTAAAAGTTTTTTTTTAAGTAAATAAATAAAGATGTATTTATCTTCAATAATGAGTTAAAATCATAATTTACGTTAAATTAAATTTAAAGAGAATATAAAATTTATTTATGAACGAGAGAAACAACAGAATACTTTGTTCATAAAATCGCAGTAAAATATATAAAAATTTACTGAGTTAGGATTATGATTTAATTTTAAAATAAATTAAAAGACGATATAAATTTTATTCATATACTTCATAGATAACTTCACTATAAAGTATCTTTATTTAAAATATTATTATACGTATTAAAAAAATAAATAAATGACAATAACTTGTAGTGGCATATGATGCACCATTTAATGCATGGATGGCATAAGGATAAGGTGCGTTCAATTTAGTTGGGTGGGAAAAATAATAAATAAGACGCAATTTTCCCCCGCCGAGCCTCTTTCATTCATTTACGTTGAGTATCTTGATTGTGGATTCGGTGGCTCCAACTTGTCAAAGGCACAATTAAACACTCCCTTGTGGCAATCTCGTTATTTCTTGGGGTCAAACTCCACTAATTTCGGATATTAAAAAAGTTTTGGATCCATTCCCCAACTTAACTCCTCCACATTAAAAATGCTTTTTAATAATCACCTCCTAAGTCCCCATTGCATTTCATTATTTCATTGCCAAACAGCAAAGACTTAAAAGACTATATATATATACTATGTGAATGTGCTTTGTGGAAGCCACCACACATTATACCGAATAAAATAAAAAAAACGGTATAATTATGACTCTAATTCACATCACGTGACCTGTTGTGGGGTTCATCACTGGCTCTTGCATTGCATTATTTGCGCCATTATGAAAAATATTAGTTCCTTTTTTACTCTTTTACAATCATGACCCAGAGATTTATTTATTTTCTGAGCCATTGCCTATTTTATTATTTATTTATTTATTTATTTTCATGAACTAGAGATTTTAGGAGTATGCTGTATTTATAAGATCACTACATTTATTCAGTCAGTTAAAAAATAACTACTAATGACTGTTTTGAGTAATTTATTGAAAATCACAAATCCAAGCTTCCGAAAACAAAATAATGGAAATACATTAATGTAATTAAAATTTAACAAGTGACACATAAATTGAATTTTCTTTCTATATTTTTTTTAAAAATAAATTTAATATTTTGATTTTTATCAAATTTTAAGAAATAATATTTATTAGTCTGTACATTTTTATTTTTTTTGAAAATATTCCAATCGGTTCATCTTCGCGACTAGTCCGATTCGGGGCGAGTCCAGAATTAAGGCTTTAAACTCCTCTCAAAGATAATACTAGAGAGGATCGAACACATGCTTTCACCTCACCTGCTCAGTTCCCATGCACGAACTGAGCTACCATCATTCTGTGAGACTATATACACTTTATATAAATTAAACTAAAAAACTCATTATATAATGTTAATAACATGCAGTATACCCTAAAAAAGAGGAGGAGTAAGTGGATTGGTTGTGTAAAGACATTTTCTCACATAAAAAAAAATGATTATAAAGACATTTGAATTGTGATTTGTAAAATTTATGTTTATTTCACATCTATGTTACATAGTAAACTTAGATTGAAGGTCCATTCGGACAAGGTAAGAGATAAAAATAAAAATAAAAATAAAAAGATGCTGCGTGGTCCAGATAATTAAATGTGCAATTTGTTTGGTGTCTTCCACCGACTTGTCATATGTTGCTTACTCGTCTTGAATCGTTGAGACAGATAGCCATCGAAGCACATGAACATGCCATTAGGCGTAGAAGGATAGATTCTGGTTATTAATGCAAACAGAATTAGATGAGTGTCATTTTAATCCACCCTTAATCTACATTTTTTTTATACTATTGTTTAATTTCATATTGATACCTTCTTTTAATTAGTGGTAATGGCTATATGTATATCTCAGTTTGTGTGTGATCAAGTGACAATCGAAGGGTCATTCAAAAAATTTTTTTATAAAAAAAGGTTAAATTTATTAAATAACGCAATAATATATTATTTCATACAATTTTTTATATTCACAATACATTAAAATTACATTAATTAAATTCCACCAGTTACGTTCAAACAGTATTTAAAACTTTTTTTTTTTTTTTTTGAGAATTAAAACAACATACAATTTGTATGACTTGAGAACATTTAAAAATTGGAGATCATTTATTAGGGTCGATCGGTGAAATAATTTCTTACTAAAAATTATTGCATAATTTCTTTTGAACACCGCTTGAACGCAATGATGAGTATCATTTATAACACATCAACATATATTGACTCAAGTGATAAGATTCTTTTATTTCTTATTTTTTTCTGGTTATATCTTATATGTTTTGTTATTTGAAATTCGAAATGCATTGAATTATTAATCAAATTAAACAACTTACTACAATTAGTATAACATAAAAGAAGCTTTCAACTATTAATTTTTTTTTTAAATTTAGCAAGTAAAGTTGACACGTTTCAATGATCTAAAATAAAATATTCTAAATAAAAAGTAAATATTTAATGCTTTTAAAATTTTAAAAATATTCAATATTTTTTTTGAGCAATAAAATAATTTAAGATATTAATAATGCTTCTTAATTAACCGAAGAAGTTGAACACTAGTTAGTGGAGGTTCTCAAAGTCTGCTTTGTCGTCTGAAACACAAGTTAGTGGAAACGAGGAGGTAGGTAGGTGATTATTATGAAAATTAAAATGAAAATAATAATATGATTTTATAAGTGCTTTAATATTTTTAGTAGATAAGTTATCTGTATTTATGTTCAAAATGACATAAATTTAAATTGAAAAATTAAAAATTATAAAATAAAATATTATTAAAATCCCAAAATAAGTCATAATTATAAAAAATATCTTAATTTTTGTCTCAAAACAATGTCATTTTAAATTTAATGTAGATAAACTATCTATATTAACCGAAAAAACGAAAATTTTATAAGAGATACGCATTAGTAAAGTAAGGGTTAAATTAAATCAACGTTACTAGGAAACAAAGAAACAATGTTCAGTAACCTCTAAGGGTAGCTCAGTTGGCAACTGAGCTCTTAAGAATTTGTTTGAGTCAGTGGTTCAAATTCGGACATGTCTCTTTTCTCGAATAGGGGTAGAGCTGGCAAAATGGGTCGAGCCCGCCGGCCCGGCCCACCCCGCCCGCCAAACGGGGCGGGCTGAGTGTTCTAAACCCGCTGCCCGCCAAGCCCGCCAGCCTGCCCGGGCTGATTTTTTTTTTTTTTTAGTTTTTAGTGTAAAATGTGACGGGCTTGGCGGGCAGCCCGCCCCGCCCGCCCAAACCGGGCGGGGCGGGCAGCCCGCTTTGCCACCTCTAAATAGGGGATTAGTCTCATCCTTACTCTGGTAGCGAAGCTTAATGCACCTATTGTTTTAATAAGGGGCTAGCCTATAGGGCCGTTACCCGAGAACAAAGTGACCGGAGGAGGTTAAATGGGGATACTTCCAAGTTATACTAAAAAAAAGAAAAAAAAGAAAAGAAACAATGTTCAGTAAATACTGGTTTAGATCATAGTCATAAAAGTATAGAAAAATATGCATGCAGCCTAACGTTTGAGTTGACTCACAACAACAACGCAATAAATAACGTTCCCAATATTATAATAAACATTTCACAGAAAAACAAAACAAGTTACTCCTCCTTCTTACTCTCTTCTCTCCTCCCTCCACTTTCTCTCTCTAAATTCTTACTCATTCCTCCGTCGACAAACCCTAAAACTCATTCATCTCGCCGGTGACAATTTTTTTTCCCCGGCGGAACCGGGAGGAAGCGAGCTCCGGGTCTGACCCGACCCGATCTGTTTCCGGATACCATTTCCCGAAAGAGATTGGAAAATGTATAAGAACCAGCTTCAAGAGCTGGCCCAGCGGAGCTGCTTTAACCTTCCATCGTACACTTGCATTCGGGAAGGTCCCGATCACGCGCCTAGGTTCAAGGCCACCGTTAACTTTAACGGCGAGATCTTCGAGAGCCCTCACTACTGCTCCACTCTCCGTCAGGCCGAGCACTCCGCCGCTGAGGTCGCACTCAATTCTCTCTCCCACCGTGGTCCATCTCACTCCCTCGCCGCTAAGATCCTTGTGAGTTCTCTCCCTTTCCCCCCTATCTATCAATGCTGATTTTAGGGTTTCTTTTTCTTTTTCTTCTGCTTTCCTCACTCTTACTCACTCTCCTTAACTTGATAAGGCTCAATATGCACCGTTTTGGTTGGGTGGGTCGTGAAATGACCGTAGTGCCCTTGGACTTAGTTTGATTCTGGTGTAGTACCAAGTGATGGTAGGAAGAGTGTGAACTCACCTGAAATAATTCTGACGAGCTTTGTTTCTTTCTGTCTTTGTGGGAGGAGCTTATGTTTTCAATTTCTGTGTTTTTGAACTCTTAAGTGCTAAGGGGTGACCAAAGTATAATCATCTCATGGTTCTAATTGGAAATTAAGAATAAGAGGAAGCTCCCAATGCATGACTTGATGCCTGAGACATGCACAATGTGGTGACCTGTATTCATGTGCCGGGCTGTATCTCCCTTTTTAGTAACTAACTGGCCTTTGGTTTTGGTATGATATGTGGAGTGACATGTATCTTCTCTCTGTTTTTTGATTGCGTGTGGCAAAGTGCTATGTGAATATCTGAATTGTATGTTAGTGGAAAAAAGGTCATAAATATACCATAGCAGTTTGAGCTTTTCCCATATTCACAATCTGTTTTTTTTTTACAAGTGAGTGGTCCTGTCAGTTATATTTGAATCCGGGATATTGATTAATTCGACAAGAGTCAAGGATGCACCCAATTCATTGAAGTGAGTTTGGATGACAAATGCCAAATCAGGGGGGCCTTGTGAAAATTGTGGTGTTTGTCTAGCAAAATTGCCAACAGTAGTATCTAAGAAATAGTAAACGTATTAATCTGTGTTACTGGTTGACTGGTGCAAATGTCTTCCTTTTTATTTAATTTTAAAATAAATGCATGAATGTTGCAGGTTGGTATAGAACCATTATCTCACCAGCCATTGCTCTATCTAGGGAAAGCTGGGGTTTTGAACCTAAGATTATTGGAGAAATTTTGCAATCAATGTAAATAATCATTCAGAAGGCGTGATAGTCTTTGTTATAAACATATATGAAAGAGAACGTAATTTGTTTCTTAAAATAGGAGTGAGCTTTATTATGCTACTCTGCTGTATAACTTGCAAAAAGTTCACCTCTGTAAATTTCTCTTGCTTTTTTTAATGTCTATTTGCCAATGTGAAAGAAAAGAAAAACAACTAATTTTATGTAGGAAGCCCAGCATGTGGTGCATGGTACTATGTTTTTCCTGTGTATATACTTATCTCTCTTCAGCTGCCCCCATAAATATTTCCTGCTCATTAAAGGAGAATTTCTATTCAAAATATTTTCTTTAATTTGGCTCTGTTATTATTGTTAATATGTTTATATATCCACATTGCATTTTATGTCTTTATTGCAGCCTTAGTAGCTTTTTGTTCATATATTTATCATACTTATTTTTGTAGGATGAGACTGGAGTCTACAAGAACCTCTTACAGGAAATTGCACAAAGGGTTGGTGCTCCATTGCCTCAGTACACAACATTCAGATCAGGCCTAGGGCATTTGCCTGTTTTTACTGGAATAGTAGAATTGGCTGGAATCACATTTACTGGTGAACCTGCCAAGAATAAGAAACAAGCTGAGAAAAATGCAGCTATGGCATCTTGGTCATCTCTAAAGCAATGTAAGTGGCTGGCTATCTTTTGTCTGAAATTTGAATTGCTTTAATGGAAATATATGGAACTTTACATCAATTTTCCCTCTCAATATAGCATTATACATAGACTACAAAATGGAACAGTGGCAATACCCATCCCAGGCTTGTTTCTCTGATTTTTAATTTTTTTTATTAATTTTTTTTGGCAAATGAATCAGGCTGGAAAATTTATCTTATGTCACTCTGGTGGTGCACTAACAATCTATGCTAAATCTTCTTGTGTGCTTCATAATTTATTTGTGATAAAGGCCAATATGATCTTCAACACATTATTAATGGACCACCTTAGATGCCTAGTACTTATTTCTATTCCAAGTTGATTTCCTTTAAAAGAAATAATATTATGTGCCAGATAGTTTTTTTTACCTGTCTTTATGACAATCTAATTTTCTTTTGTCATCTCCTTTGTATCTGATTCAGATTTTAGATCTCCCATGTAAATGATTGAATATGAATTGACAATAATTTTCTTTCTCTCCAGTGGCAAAAGAGACTGCAAGCTCTTCAACTGAACCGGAGAACAATGATGAACTGGAACAGATCACAATAGCTCGGGCTTTACAGAACTACCGTATGAAGGAAAAGATGGCAATGTCAAATCCAAATGCTCCAATTCCATTCCATAAGAAGTTTCAGATTCAAAATCCCAGGCCAACCAGTTCTCAACCTCTGCCTGCCACTACATCAAAGATCCTTCCCCTAATTTGCCAAAAAGCGGCACCTCGAAGCAAACCCTCATTGGCAACAGCAAATGAAAGCCCTCGAAGCAGGCATCCACTATCAGCAGCAGCCAGTGACAATTCCGTGGTGCCACCTCAGTCTTCTGCACTGGAAAGCCGATGGACCCGACCCCTGAAGTTCCCTGCAGCAGGAGCAGCACCTTATGTTCCTATTCGACAAATGAGATCACCTTGCCATGGGATTGCACCTGCAGTGACTATAAGGACCGTAGTACCTGTATTCTCTGCACCACCTCTTCGACCACCAGCCTCAGTGTCCCATCAGGTAATACAAGCTCCTCCTGTAAGAGTTGCTCCTCCAGTCAATATTCGGCAAGCTGTTCCTGTATATGCTGCTCCATCAGCAAGAAAGGATGAACCTGCTCCCATCCAAAAAGAAGAATCACCAGCTATTAGTGCCCTGGGCCAGCAAGATAAACTGCCAGCTAAAATTCAAGATATAGACAAGATTGAGAATACCCGACTAGAATCACAGACTGTGCGGAGCTTGGAGCTTCTGAAAATTTGAATTTTATTGGAGTGGGTCTGAATCCAGGGAACTCCGTCATGTTTTTGTGCTGACCTTGAGTTTACTTCTCATCCTATAATGAGTGATGTTAAATCATCCCTTCATCTTTCCTTACCCCATTTTGTCCTGTTAAATGCGACAGTTGGCGCAGGTTCATTAGCATCAGCAGTCGAATATTTGTGAAATTCAAGAGCAGTTTGGTATTTAATTTGCTCATGTTTTTACTTATGTATGTATCTCATATCTTATTTTGCCTTGACAGCAAGTCTGCGAGCTTGATTATTGCTCGCTTTTTCTTGGGATAAGTATTGCTCCACTCTTGCGTGTGGAATTGCTGCATTACTTTCCCCACTATTCACCTGAGACCTTACCATCATAGTGAGTTCATCTCCGAGATTTGAGAATGTGTCTTTGGAAAAGAGAAGGCAGACGCTGCCCTATGCTAGTTCTGTTAGAAGAAAAGCCTTACTCATGAAACGGACCAGACATGGCTTATGTAATTAGGTCTATAGGGTACCTCTGGGCTCATGATTGTTAACTTTACGTGTTAATTGATAGATATAATAAAGCTACATGAGTAGAATCGGATTCTCCATCAAGTTCCGAAACTTCCTTCGCCCTTTTTCCAGGGAACGTGGTTCAATGTTTTGGGATAAAGTATAAACTATCACTTATATTTTCACTGCACTGAGTCGTGACATCAATTTGTATTTTACTCCAATTCACAGCCTGAGATAGGTTGATTTTGGTTTTATTTGTTCGGCTTCCCCCGTTTACGATGTCTTTTTAGATATTAAGCTGATGTTGAATTCCTTTTTCTTTTTCCCTTTTTTTCATGAAGAGTGAAACCGAGATAGACGTTTCTAGTATTAAACCACCACGGCACCACCTTTATTTATTGAGGAACTTGCATTTTCATCCTTTTTTTCAATCATCTTTGTCACGTTCTATTCAACGAGTTGAGACACAAACTAAAGTTGTTCAAATGTGGAGTTACATTAAACCAGAAGAAAACACCTCCTCTACCCGTGAAGTCATTTTCATCCTATCGTTGAATTACAAACCTTTCCTGACTGTAGAGGTAAGATGAAAATACTATTAAAAGACGAAAACTTTTTCACTTTGTATATCACCAAGATACAGTTCTCAGATTCTATAATTAAAACAAGCAGAGCCTGAGACTGATAATCTGGAACCTTAACTGTGTCGGGGACTTAAATGGAACTGCAGAAGGACTTATGGCGAGGTAGTTGGTTTTGTTTAATGCTTGTTTGAATTGCACATACTTTTTTAAGCTTACAACGTTTCTCCCAAAGTCAATAATTATAATTGAGTCAGGACCTCTTTTCTAAAAACATAACTATCAGAAACTGCAAGTATATGTCATAATTGAGTCCACAGATGCCCAAAACATATAACAGGTTATTCTCATACATTTATTGCAATGGAACCTTGTTTTGTCTGGCTCTCCTTATACACTCTGTAACAACACCTCCCACCTCTTATCCTATCCTTGTGCTTGCTAATGAATTGCTTTGGCTTATCAACGAAATTAACACCAAATCGATCCTCATAGATTGCTTCCATCTTATCTCTAAACTCTGTTATTGAGGGTACCTACAGGGATCAAAGACAGAAAAAGACACATCAAAACCAATCCATATGTTCCTTATGGAAAAGTGTTATATAACCAACCTCGTTCACAAATTCATCTTTATGGCTACCAACTTCGTTCTTATAATTGATACAAAAATTTGGTAAGCGGAATTCCGTTCCGGAATTCGGGAAACTGAATTTTTCTAAATTTTCTATTTTCGGATATTATCGTAAACTGAACGTAAAAATCATATTTTTGAAAATTGAGATTCTCGGATAAAAAAAAATTTCCTCCGACAAACGTCCCCTAAAACAGAAAAAGTTAAGGCTTTTAAATGACTGGTACACGTTATTCCCACCTTGGATATTTAACCAGCAAAAATGATAATTGTATATCATTTTGTATAAGTTATTTTTTTGTGTAAGTTATTTTTATATGGTTGAACAACGTGCAGTCGAATAGCGCATGTTATGTATATTATGAATGCATATAATAATCGATTACCCCGTTCAACCCCTTATTACACACTTCATCATTTTTTTATATATTGTTCATCAATGTAAAAACATGTGTAAGTAGTGAAATTGTTTATCTAAGTTCACGGAAAATAAGAGAAAGAGTAGCATAATTGTTTATAAATACAACATCTATATATTATGGTAAGACAGAGAGAGAGAGAGTAGTAAAGAAAATGGAATTTTATAGTGAAATATGTCAGACAGTTTCATCATCACGGCAGAAGAGGACAAAATATAGGGAAAATGGCCATGGATTCCCTTGGACATCTCAAATCACAGGTACGGTTTCTTTAACTTTAACCAATGCTTGTTTGTTTGCACCCTGATTGGGAACCTTTTGTTGTTATGTAGTTACTTCATAAGATCACAAGGTTTTTGATATTAAGAATGCAAGAAAAGGATAAGATAAACTTCTGGTGCCGCTGCACTCTTCTTGAGGCTTTTAATTTCTTGTCAAGCATCGGTGATCACATACATTCACATAAAGTGACTAATGGGTCCCTTGTGCATTTCACCTTAGGCTTATTATACATTTGGGGTTCTGCATCAGGTAGTTAGTTATACAATAATAATTGATTTGCTTGTCATGTAGTGGTTACTATAAAGAAGGAGGGGGTGGGTATATCATGATAATAGGGGCATGGTGCCCTCCATTAAAATCAAATGCATAGTTTTGCTTCGGCAACACCCTTAACCACCACGAAGTGGCATCTTTATCCATTTGTGGGTTATATTATAACTTTATGGTGAAAAGAACATAGCATGGAGGGTGAAATAAATAATAAGTGTGCCAAACAAGCAAAGGTGTTGTGAGAGAGTGAATGTGTCAAAGTGGCTAATTGAATGGGACCAAGTCTCCACTTCAAAGACACCAATGACCAACCCCTCAAAGCAAGGCCATATCAGCATTTTATATAAATAACTTTTTTTTTTTTTAAATAAAATAAAGGGCAGAATTTTTTGACACCAATGTCAAACTAAAAAATTTGATATGAAATTCTAAGGAACAGTGACCAAAATGTCACTGTTCACCAACTTTTTTACCTAAATGCCACGCGAACAGTGTTATTTCCCAATATGCCACGTGAGCGAGTTCGCTACAGTGCCCAGCGAACTCGATTGGATGACGTGTCACGTTTTTAGTAGACACAGTACCAAGTTCGCTACTGGTTGGAATGTCAGCTTTTTCAATTAAAAAGTCCAACCATGTGTCTACTAAAAACGTGACGCGTCATCTAATCGAGTTCGCTGGGCACTGTAGCGAACTCGCTCACGTGGCATATTGGAAAATAACACTTTTTGCGTGGCATTTAGGTAAAAAAGTTGGTGAACAGTGGCATTTTGGTCGGTGTCCCAAATTCTAACTGTTCATTTCCGACAATCTAATGATTATAATTTATTAGATCAAATTTATTAATAAATTATAATCGCCAACTGTAAAAAATTACCGGTTAAGATTTGGTATCGTAAAATCATCCTATCCTATAAAATAAAATGAACATGAACTTTAGGGATGAATATGGAGCCAGCATATAGAGGAAGGTCCCACGTGATTGGACCTGAGATGGGGCCGAAAAGGGTGTTTGAGAGGGAGGCACAGGCAGTAGTGTTAACATTAAATATTCCATTCCTATGAGAAAAGCAGTGGCTGAAGGCAAAAGGAGATGGGAACCCTCCACCCATTAGGAACTAGGAACTATGAAGAAGGAGGAGGACATCAATTAAATCATAAAGAAAACAACAAAGATAAAGCAATCAGAGAGAAGGAGGGGGACAAAGTGGAAGGATGTTAATCCCATTATAGTAAAGTTTAGAAAAGAAAATATTCCCATTTGACTTTGATATATCTCATCATACAACATTGATTGTACTATATGTTTAGGAGGAAAAAAGAAAAAGAAAAAAACATTTACATTATTCATTCATATGTCACTAGACTCACTACAACTGTGTTCTTGATTTTCTTTTTTCTATGGGGTTGACCAAAAAATTAAGAAATCAAATATTATTACTATTAAAATTATTTAAAAAGAGGTTATTTCCTTCCATTATTTCTTTCTTAATAATATTTTCCTCTCTCAAATAATTATAAAGGACTTCATTTACTAAAATCATTTGGGTAATGTTAACGCGCACTAAATCACCATTCTTGTATTCTCACTTTATTTCACATGGAATCAAGGCATCACATTAAATTATCATTCTAAAATATATTTTTCTGGAAAGCAAAAAATAGGAATTATTCATTGTAAAAAATAAAATTAGAAACAGGAGTAAAGACCATTACTATTGTACCCAACACTAAGACATCATCATTTGAAACGTTTGGAATTAAGTTTATATTTAAAGGAAAAAATTATTTTCATGTTGTTGAAGAGTAGCTCGCTTTGTTATATATCCATCAATTTTTGTATAATTTAATTTATTTATTTATTTTATAAGTGAGTGAACCTTACCTATAATTATATATATATATTTTTTTTTTGATAACAATAATTATATCTTTGATATGATAGAATTACTCTCTTATAAGATAAGATTAATAAAATCAACATTTAAAAGCTTGATTTGAGGGATAATGCCGACAATACTATGGGAAGCACGATAGGCTTTTCCCATGTTGGAAGTCAATTTCATTTACCTTTTGCTACCTATTTTCCACGTGGATATATTCTATTGGCTTGCTTGGGGTGGAATAAACGCGAAGTCGTACAGCCAGATTGGAAAATCATCCTATTTCCAAACAAAGATCTTGACTGTTTTTCCCACCCTGAGTTTCTTATGTGTATGTAAGTTCATATGTCAACTTTTCCTGTTTCTGTCATTTTGCATATTTTCAAATGCCCTATTTTGGCATCCGTATTTGTTGTTTTGTCTTTGAGAATCTAAAAGCGCTTTGTATGGTTCAATTCATTCCCCTACACATTTTGGTCCACTTTTTTTAGATATTTAAATTGATTATGTTTAACCTTTTGAAATTATAGAAATTTAAAAATATCCATACTTACTTATTCATTATTTAACGTAAAAAATACATAATAAAATTAGGGTATACAAGAGCGAAAAAAGGACCTCTGAAGTGTTACAAATTTAATATAAAGTTATTCTTATATTTGTTCAGTCCCGACTCGGTCGAGATAATAGGTCAATATGTAAAAAATATTTTTAACCCAAAATCTTAAAGTGTTGAGTGATGGTCTTTTTAATAGTTTATATTATTTTATAACACAACCCTTCAGCCAAGAGTCCTTTGGAAGGCTCGATTTTTTGGTTTTACCTTGTGTTCGAACTCTTGACCTCATAGTCACTGAAACTCTGATACCATATAAAGAATCACTTCAACCCAAAACTTTAAGGAGTTGGATAAGGACTTTTTTAATGATTTATATTATTCTCTAACACAATAAATCACTAGTTAAATCGATACGTAATGGGTTCAACTTCATAAATTAAATTTATAAAATAATTTATAATAAATATTAAATTATGAATATTACATCCAATAAATAAAAATATATAATAATAAGCCTTCCAATTCTCAAACATCACCAAATTATTGAAACATGAGTTAACCCTCCAATCCGATCCGAGTTTTAAAACATTTTCTTAACATACAATTCTATCAGCTCATATAGTAATCAAATAAGCATAATCAATATATAGCTTGGTGCCACGCTTACTGCAAGCAGCTCCTTAAAGTGAGAAATTTATCTTGTGAAGTAAATTAACATGCACCCGATGACACAATAATCTATATTATTATAAATCTATCTAATACTATGTTTTAACATATTTTCCAGACTAATGACACCATCATAATTTTCTAAGGAATTTTTTTAAATTGAAGGGTATTTTTGTTTTTTATTGTTTTCGTTCAGAGCACATGTTAGTGCTCTAGTATATTTAATGGGAGAAAACAAAATATACAATCATTGTATCAAAAAGATTGATTTCGATCTAAAGTGTTAAATTTATATATTATCTTCTTCTTTGTTGCTTGTGTTGTGATGCAAAAGGTGGATTAATTATTGTTTAATAAGGAAACACTATAAGAAAGAATTATTAATGTTAAATTAAGACGTTTGTGATTTGTGCTCCCTGAAAAGCATGTGATCCTACTTTTGGCGCATGCCAAAAGCAGCGGAAAATGGAAATGCCACGTCGTAAATCAATTTTCTATCTCCTTACCCTTTTTTATTTTATTTCTTTTTATATGATTTTGAATTTTGTTTTGAATTTAGCTCACAAGAAGCATAGTTTTAGAATGTGAAATTAAATTTCAGAATTTCAGTCACCAGAGGCTAATGTGCGCTGACGCCACGGTGCGGTCGGCGCAGGGAAAATTATAAATTAATACAAAAAAAAAAGTGAAAAAAAAAAAGATTGAGTGGAGAATGAGCATTATGGACCCTCAATTTTTGGAGTTTGAATTTGTCCTTACTTAACCAGAGGAATATCCAAACTACCACATACTTTCCCTCTCAATAACTTTTGTTCATTCATTTTCTTTTCTAAATAGAAACAATATTGGTTCGGGGGTTTATATTTATCATTTAACATGATACAAGAAAGTTTCTTACACACGTAATATTTTGTGGGGCTCATATTTTTATAAGCAAAATAAAAAATAAAAAATTACGGCACGCAAAATGAATCTCTATAACATTACACAATCACTTTTCCTACAACATAACTCTTATAAAACCCTTGGTTCACAAATGAAAACTTCATAGATTATAATAAAATTTATAAGCGAATATAATTATCTAAGGATGCTTGAAGCGTTTACGAATTCATTTAATTGTATGATTTCGCAACTATTGTATGGATCACTTCGTGTATCTTGTTTTTTTTTTTGTTCCCTTCTAATTATATCATGGACTATACCATTTATATATTATATTTTATATTTTAATTTGACTGTGTCTGCATGTCCTAATATTTATTAATTTTGTTTAAATTATATGTTGATTTTATTTATGTCTCGTGTCCATGCTGGCATTTCCTAGAATTTGAGCCTGTCATCTTCCATGTGCAGCCTAGCCCCGCCCACATGGAGATCGGTTCCTAAAGCGTTCATCTTCGCACATTTGCGTGACTTTTTCGAGCATAGAGTTGATTTGGGGGGAAGACTCTTTCTCCTTCATAAGATAATTGAATTGAGTGGTAACCTTAATTAAGGTCACACTGATGATCTGACCTTAAAGTGCATGGTGTGATGAGTATGTGTAAAGAATGAATTTAATTCAAAAACTTAAATTAATGAGTGAAGTTATATTAATGATTTTATATATTTGTAATATGTTTCTTCAAACGAAAGCTTATTGAACTTGAAGATGGACAATGCACAGACCCTATACACCTGTGCGAAGAAATTTTATGAGACTTGATTAATAGAGAACAGTGAGAATTAAACTTATTACAGTAAAACTTTGATAATATATAAAAAATCAATTTAATCCAAAAAATAAAGCTAATGAATGATGCTACATGAATCATTTTATGTTTATGTAACAATATGTGATTCGTAATTGGTATTCATTCTGTAATTGGTACTGAGCTCCAAAGGGTTTGATTGGATCAGGGATTAAAATCTTGATTCAAATAAATTCTTGGAAAATCTTTGGGGCAGAGGAATCGTCTCTCTCCTCGAAGGGGATCAATCTCATCCTTTCTCCCATGACAAAGCTCAATACACCCTCTGTTTTCAATGAGAAAGTAGCCTTTAAAGTTGTATTATTAGGACAAAGTGACACAAGGAGGTCTTTATAAAAAAAAAGTGAAATTTATGTATCATTAATGATATAAGAGGATGTATGATAAAACTTGTAGGATGTTTTAAGTTTGTAGGATGTAAAAATTGAAGTGTGTGTAGCTACAACTTCAACTTTTCATTTGAAACAAAGAGCAGGGACAAGTACGTAAAAGAGCCACAACTTATAAACAAACATCTCTGTTATGTTTTTTGATATTCGTGCACTGCAAACTCTCTCTCTCTCTTCCCACACTTTATTCCCACTGTTTCAGCTCAGCACAGATCAGTGTCTCAAATTCGCTCTTTCTCTCTCTTGAAAATTTTCCCGGAAATCTGTTTGAACTACACCTGGATATGAATATGGTTAGGGTTTCTTGGTTGTTGTCTATTCTAGCTACCTCCATCTCATCACTTTCTCCGACAAAGTGAAGTGTATCCAAACTACCTACCCATTCCTATTCCTTCCTTCTTCCTCAAGCTCCATTCACAATTACTCTCTCATTTCGGTCTGCTTTTCTTTTTCTTTTTTTTGTTGTTGTTTTTTCTCCATACACACATTCCTTTTCCATTTACACTGGAATCTGGTTGAAAAGGGAATGTTCCTGAGTTGAAAGTTCAAACCTTGAAAGGAACATATATATTTTTTTTATGGATTTCACATTAGCCTTTTACCCAAAGAGAAGAAAAACCCGTGAATTGAGGAGCCTCTAAGTTTAGTTAGAAGAGAAGAACAAGTGGGTAGTGGGTTTTTTTTTTTTTTCGGTTTTTCTTTCATTTGTTGAGGTAGAGAAGACAAATCCCGGTTTCTGTGGGAAATTAAAGAACCCGTTGGCGCAGGTGGTTTTGTTGGAACCAAAAAAGAAACGTGATTTAAGGTTGTAAGAACGAGGATTTCCCTGTTTCAGTTTGGAACTATTGAGTTGCAAAGGGAGTTTCGTTTCAGATCAGTTCAGAGCTACAAAACCTTGTGAAAGAGCAAACAATAACGGAGGTTACACACTTTTTTTTTTTTTTTTTTAGTATAAGAATCTTGTGATGGTGGTGGCTGGTTTTCTATGCTAAGAAGGAAGAAGATTGTAGTACCTTGAGAAGCAGAAGCAGAAATTTTGAAGAAGATGGCTATGGCTGTGGCTCAACACAGAGAAAGCAGCATTGACAAACACCTTGATGCTTCTGGGAAATATGTTCGATACACGGCGGAGCAAGTTGAAGCTCTTGAACGGGTTTACACAGAGTGCCCCAAGCCAAGTTCCTTGAGAAGACAACAACTAATCAGAGAGTGTCCCATTCTGGCAAACATTGAACCCAAGCAAATCAAAGTTTGGTTCCAGAATCGCAGGTGATTTTTAAGTTGTATGTCTATCTATAGGATAGAATGTTATGGTAGAAGAGAAGGCCAAGGTGTTTTGAATATTGATACCGTTTGGTTTGGTTTGGTTTGGTTTGGCGTGCAGGTGTAGAGAGAAGCAGAGAAAAGAGGCTTCACGGCTTCAGACTGTGAACCGGAAACTGACAGCAATGAACAAGTTGTTGATGGAGGAAAATGATCGGTTGCAGAAACAGGTGTCACATTTGGTATGCGAGAATGGTTATATGCGGCAGCAATTGCATACTGTAAGCGGATCAACATTCATTTTAATTCACTATATCTTTGTCAGTTGTCATGGTTGAGGCATATAGTTATAGCTTTGATTATATAAATTTTTCGGTTTTTTGAACTATTGTTACTGTCACTGCAGCCATCAGCAGCAGCAGCAGCAACTACTGATGCAAGTTGTGATTCGGTGGTTACTACTCCTCAGCATAATATGAGAGATGCTAATAACCCTGCTGGGTAATTTTGAAGTTTATGACCATGAGCTTTCCTCTGGATGCTTTTCTTGTGAAGCTCTCTCTGACTCTTTTTCTTGTGTGATCCTTGCAGATTCCTATCAATTGCAGAGGAGACCTTGGCAGAGTTCCTTTCAAAGGCTACAGGAACTGCTGTCGATTGGGTCCAGATGCCTGGGATGAAGGTTTCTTTTCTTTTGTCTACTTTCAAGAAAATAAGTAAATAAATCAGTGATCATGCTTCTAGGTGGTAGGGGTGTAAATGGGCTGAGCTGAACTTTGGCTTAAATAATAAAATACTTTATGCCTGATCTGGCTTGTTAGCCTTATGTATGCCCAAAAGCCTGATCTATATTTAAAAAACAAAAGTCAAAGCCCAGGCCTGTCAGCCTGTTTAAGTCTATTAGACTTTCAATAATTTCAAAAATAATTAAAATAATATTATTTTATTGTTCAAAATCATTAAAATAATTATTTTATTTATTTTATTTAAAATAAATAATATGATATAAGTTAGCCCGTAAACTTATAGACCCGACAAATAAAAAAAAGCCTATGTCCTACTTTGTAAATAGGCTTTTTTAAAAGACTGAGCCTATTTTATTTGATTAATGGTTATAGCCAAAGCCTGGCCTGACGTAGGCTGGGCCATAGGCCCCTGTTTGGCTGCCTGACCCATTTACGCCCCTACTTCTAGGAGACAATTATATTTTAGTTTTACAATTTATGATACTGGGCGTATTTTGATATGAAGGCCAAGTTTCTTCCACTAATATCACCTATTATGTTTATTTTGAATTTCTTTTTGTCAGCCTGGTCCGGATTCGGTTGGGATCTTTGCCATTTCGCATAGTTGCAGTGGAGTGGCAGCTCGAGCCTGTGGTCTTGTTAGTTTAGAACCTACAAAGGTACATAAGGAGGGAAAATACTGATAGCAATTTTCAGTCATTTCTTAGTATGCAAGTTTTTAAATTGTTTGGATTTTGAATTGTTAAAAAGTTCCAAAATTTTCAATAGATTGTGGAGATCCTTAAAGATCGTCCATCATGGTTTCGGGATTGTCGGAGTCTAGAAGTTTTCACAATGTTCCCAGCTGGAAATGGAGGGACAGTTGAACTTGTTTACACGCAGGTGAGATATTAAACGTGAATTGTAAGATCCCTTAGTTATTTTATTGAATCTTGTGAGTGCATGTTAATTTGCTACAGACATACGCTCCAATGACACTGGCTCCTGCCCGGGATTTCTGGACTCTGAGGTACACTACAAGTTTAGAAAATGGCAGTCTTGTGGTGAGTATGTTTATGTTGTCTATTATCTAATGCACAACTATTGTTGCATACAATTTATATATGAAACTGCGTCCATCCTAGTGAGAGGTTTTAATTCTTGTATTAAAGGGAGATGATTTGATGTAATTGCACTTATATGCATTCTGATTCCACTTCTGAAGGTTTGTGAGAGGTCACTGTCTGGTTCTGGTGCTGGGCCTAATGCAGCTGCTGCTGCTCAGTTTGTGAGAGCCGAAATGCTCCCTAGTGGCTACTTGATTCGACCATGTGAAGGTGGAGGATCAATCATCCACATTGTAGACCACCTAAACCTGGAGGTTTGATTTCTTGACAATCAGCTAGTATATTTTTAATCTCTTTTAATATACATTAAATTGTTTAATGTTTTCTTCTAGGCATGGAGTGTGCCAGAAGTGCTGCGACCACTTTATGAATCATCAAAAGTGGTAGCTCAGAAAATGACAATTGCGGTAAGTTCACTATTGTTAATTCATGAAATAGGGTTCTATTGCAAACTTTGGTGCGCTATTGTGATTATTGTAAACATACTTAAACTGTGAATTACAATATTTTGAGCAAATCCCATAGTATATCATTCGGCATTTGAGTTAGCCTCTGGCACATTGATGTTAGACTGTGCTGCAGATACATCTTCTAGAAGTTGCTGTTAATTTTGTTACTTCAAAGTCTTTGGAATAGATGTCTCCATGTATATATATTTTTTTATTCCCTTCCGTCTAACATTCTTAGTGTCAAGTACATACTAGTTCAAGTACATACTAGTTTTCTATCCGGTCTTAATTTCATCTGATTCCCCTCTCCCATGCCTTCTAAGAATACGGTATTGATTCAATGACTTTCATGATAGGCACTTCGCTATATCAGGCAAATAGCTCAGGAAACAAGTGGTGAAGTGGTATATGGCTTAGGTAGGCAACCTGCTGTTCTGAGAACCTTTAGCCAAAGGTTGAGCAGGTGGGCTACATGAAATAATATGTTTTCTTGAAAACTATTTCAGCTTCTTGTTGTAAAATGATCCATTTCGTTGGTGAAAAATTGATACATTACTCTTACAGAGGCTTCAATGATGCTGTCAATGGATTCAATGATGATGGCTGGTCTGTACTGAACTGTGATGGTGCCGAGGATGTTATTATCGCTGTTAATTCAACCAAGAATTTGAGTGGCACTTCTAATTCAGCAAGTTCCCTTACATTCCCTGGAGGAATTCTCTGTGCAAAAGCTTCTATGTTACTCCAAGTGAGTGTGAGAACCCATTGGCGTGATGAATTAAATGGTTTTTCTTAAAAAAGAAGGAACATTTACATCTTTGTAATCTTATATGACAATCTTTCATTGTGCTTTACTTGTAGAATATCCCTCCTGCAGTTTTAGTTCGTTTTCTGAGGGAGCATCGCTCTGAGTGGGCTGATTTTAATGTTGATGCCTATTCTGCTGCATCACTTAAAGCTGGCTCCTATGCCTATCCAGGAATGAGGCCTATGAGATTCACTGGCAATCAAATAATCATGCCTCTTGGACATACAATTGAACATGAAGAGGTATTCCCTTGCCCAGGCACAGATTTCACATGGAAGTGCATCTTCATCCATGTCATGGGATCCATTAGAGAGATCTTAGCTTTTGTGACGTAGAGTTCTTCCTTGTTTCTTAGATGTTAGATGCATATTTGCTTTGGGCTAAGATTTGGTTATTATATCTGTTCCAGTTATGTTTACCAGTAGAGTGATGTCAACAATTTATGGTCAAATCACTTTAAACACTTGTATTTTCAGGCATCATTCATGCTAATGTTTTGTGAACATTTCAGATGCTAGAAGTTATCCGGCTTGAAGGTCACTCTCTTGCTCAAGAAGATGCTTTTGTTTCTAGGGACATTCATCTATTACAGGTGCTGCCTCTGACTCTAGTTGAAATGTAGGAAACTATATGTATTCTGTTCATTTTGCATAAGCTGAGTCTGATCAAATGTTGATATATCATCTTTGGGACAAATTGCAATTTTCATACTAAGGTTCCTATGGTTTTGGTACAAATATAATGGAAAAGCTCAAATTTTCATTAAACAATACTATTAGGAGAGATCACAATGTTAGAAATATGTCGTAATTCATGATCTGGCTGGACTAGAGCTGACATTCTCTCGGTAAAGGTTATATGTTTGGAAATTGTATTTACTATTTCAGTATATTGCAATTGTCTACCATATTTTTTTGGAAGAAAAAATATGTGATGGATATAAAGAGTGGAGGATGAAGTTAGGTAAACAAATAGTAGGGCCAGCAATATTCGGGCAGGCCAGGCCAAATTTTATTTGGCTAGTATTTTCCTAGCCTTGCCCATTTATCTTCAGGCTTGGCCCATTTTGACAGCCCTAACACAACCACTGAATTTTTTCTGCATTCCACCCAGATTGAGATTTTTAGATTAAATTGGGTTTAATGCTAAGCACTACATTAAGTTTTTGCTAGCTTGTTAATTATATTACTTCTGCCTATCAGTAGGTTTTGGGGATTCTTCTCTCCTCTAAGGATGCGCCTCATCTATAGTTCATTTTTGTGCAGTTTTATGGTTTATACATAGAAGAATGTGTAATAAATAGATCGATACTAAGGAACCTTCTTTTCTCTTGTTTTTGTTTGTTTGTTTTCTTTTTTACAGTTAAGTAGTGGAATCGATGAAAATGCTGTGGGAGCTTGTTCTGAGCTCATATTTGCTCCAATTGACGAAATGTTTCCTGATGATGCTCCATTGGTGCCTTCCGGTTTCCGCATTATCCCATTGGATTTAAAACCAGTTGAGTCTTGTTCCTTTGCATTTGATTTTCTCTGACAAGCTACTTTTCTCATCACTTTACTCCTTTAGTCGAGTTAATCTCCTTGCCTTAGTGGGTGCTTATAGTGAGTTGAGATTATTAAATTTCATGTGCTAACCCAAAAACATAGGATATCATTTTCTTTTGGTGTTAAAGCATGAAATACCATATTTCAACAGACTAAAAAAATAGTGTTAGAAAGCACCAAGTGGAACTGCAGTCCATATATGGAGCCCAGTAATCATGTTAATATGTTGATGTGTTTCAGGGTGATAAAAAGGATGCAATGACAACAAATCGAACCTTGGATTTGACATCTGGTCTTGAAGTAGGCCCAGCAACAAGTCATGCTGGAGGAGATGCTTCATCAAGTTATAACAATCGATCAGTGTTGACAATTGCATTCCAGTTTCCTTTTGACAGCAGTATGCAGGATAATGTTGCGGCCATGGCACGTCAGTATGTACGTAGTGTGATTTCCTCTGTGCAGACGGTTGCCATGGCTATATCTCCATCTGGTATAAACCTGGCTGTAGGAGCAAAACTATCTCCTGGCTCTCCAGAAGCTCTTACACTAGCTCATTGGATCTGCCAGAGTTACAGGCAAGCTTGCACATATCTCTGATTTCTCTGTTTCATATTTCCAACAAGTTTAAAAGTTAATGCATGCATGCTACCTTGCCTGTCTTAAGTGGTTTGAGAATGTCATAGTTTGAACTGTGATTTTCTTATATTACGCTGATATGTGTGTTAAATGATTCACATTGTGGTTTGGACAACAATTCTAGTTAAATATTCATTTTCAAAATGTTGTCTTAACATGTTTGTCTCTTTCACTATCTCTTATCTAAAAACAGTTACCATTTGGGGACGGAACTACTGAGGTCTGATTCTCTTGTCGGTGATTTGGTGCTGAAACATTTGTGGCATCATCAGGATGCCATTTTGTGCTGTTCTTTGAAGGTATGGCCGTGATTTTATTTCATGGTACAGTTGGTCCTTTTGTTATGTAATGAAATTTTGATGGAATTTGGAAATGTATAATGATTTGACCTTTAAAGCCTGTGATGTAAGGTTTATGTGATTCACTGTTTGGTTTTGCAGTCAATGCCCGTATTCATCTTTGCAAACCAGGCTGGCCTTGACATGTTGGAAACAACTCTAGTGGCTTTACAAGACATCACGTTGGATAAAATATTTGATGAGTCTGGACGCAAGGCATTGTCTGCAGATTTTGCCAAGTTAATGCAGCAGGTAATTAATTGCCTGTAGTGAACATGTTCACATCCTAAGCCAAAGCAATATATATATATATATATATATATATATATATATATATATATATAGGGAAATAATACTCTCATGCCACATGAGATACTCTCATTTTCCTACACAAATTCGTTTTTCGTGCCAAATAATTTTTCTTTTCTTTTTTAATATAAAATATGGGACCCACATTTAACTTCTCTCTACTTTTTTTCTCTCCTACAATCCTACAACATAAGAAAAGCTAAACCCATATATATATATATATATAGGGGTTGTAAAGAACCAATTCAACACAAAAGCTTAAGCTGTTGGTGAGGTCACATTAATGGTTTTATATATCTCAAATGGGGTAAACATTTCTACAGCTACTTTAGATAAAGTTATCTACAGCTACTCCAAAACTACGTCGTTTTGACAAGGTGTTTTTGTAATTTTAGGTGAATTAATGAAGGGTGTTTCCGTAATTTGCTTATTTTTTTATCATATCAATTTTACTGAAACACTCTTCATTAATTCACCTAAAATTACAGAAACACCTTTCATTAATCAAAACGACGTCGTTTTTGGGTAGCTGTAGATAATCTTATCTAAAGTGGCTGTAGAAATGTTTTTTTCATATATATATATACAAAAAAATATTTCTACAGTTACTGTAGATAAGTTATCTGCATTTACTTCCAAAACTATGTCGTATTAGGTTTACTGCAGATAATTTATTTGCAAAAAAAACGAACCCATATATATATATATAGAGGGAAGATTTTTTGGTTGCAGTGTAAAATTAAGAAGTATTACTTACCGTCTCAGCCTTTGATTTCCCTCTATACGATAGATAGTCATAATTTATTTAAAAATAATAATTAATTAATAGATGTAACTCAATAAATTACAACTGTCAAGTGAATGGAAATCAATGACTGACAGGAAGAGTAAAACTTCGTTCAAAATTCTTATTATTTGTATTGAGATATCAATTTTTGATTTATTTTTAACGTTTCAACCTAGTATGTTTTTCATAAATGGCTAAATTGTTGTGTGAATATTTATTATTCCTTCAGGGGTTTGCTTATCTGCCAGCTGGGATCTGCATGTCCACAATGGGGCGGCATGTTTCATATGAGCAAGCCATTGCATGGAAAGTGCTTGCTGAAGAAGATAACAATGTTCATTGCTTAGCTTTCTCTTTCATAAATTGGTCGTTTGTATGAACATCCGATTCCAGTATTTAAAGCTCTGCTTTTTCCCACTTGAATATATGAACGAGGTATAAATCAAAAGGAGAAAATTTTGAGAGGGAAAAAGAAATCTGAATTTTTTTCTTTTCTTTTGTTCATCTACACCATAAGTTCAGTTTTTGCATCATTCGATTTAATTTATTTATTATTTGGTGCAGTTACCAAATTAATTTAATCTTGTAAACTTTTGTTAGTGCTAACCTTAAAAGCAGAGAATCAATTTGTTGATGCTAAAGAGGTTTGTCGTTTGATGCCTATTGCCTTGTATTGTATGTGCGTTACGATCGTGTGTTGTGACGTGCGACTAACTATAACCTTAGCTACGTTGTGTTGTTAATTTATTGTTGGAAGAGCTACCTCGTTTTAACTGTTTCAAGTTTCATGCTTAATCTGTCAGTTCGTTTAGGCAATTACATTCTTTTTCAGGGAATACTAACCATTAAACCCCGACACAATTAGTAGATGGTTGGGTTTCTTAAGCATGTTTTTATATCTCGCATTTCGAATTCTCCTTCTTTTTAGTCTTTATTGTAATTTGGAATGCATAATTACATCCTCTTGACCAGCTACTGATCATCGCCTTAGTAAGCTATTGCCTCACCAACTAGCTAATCAGACATTAGCAGATTCATTTTGTGGTTTTCCTAATCAAACTAGAAGATTGATTGAGAAATATTTCTTGTTCTTATTATAAGATCGTGATTGGATCCGGAAGGTCAAGGAAGTTGGTGACCTAATGACAGGGGAGCCGGAGTTTGATTTTTGACAGTGTGTATGGAAAATGTTTTGTTAGTAGAGATGAAATTTATTTCGGTGATCTTTAAAGGATTAATCTTTGGCTATTGGTTGTGGTATATAAATTAGGTTAAATTGTTAAATATAAAAAATAGCTTGGGTTGATATATTTTACATATTGAAGGATATTTAGTATACTAAAAGTCAGTTCGTTTCGTCTTTCAGAAAAAGTAATTTTTATCTCTTCCTTATTTTAAAATTATTTTTTAAAAAAGTTAAAGTTATTTATATTTTTATAAAAATATTTAGTTTTTTAAAAAAAAAAAATTGACTTTTGACTTTTGTTTTTTGTAGAAGTTAAAATTTTTACTTCTAAAAAAAAGTAGATTTATGACTTTTTTATAATTTTTAATTTTTTTAAAGTAAATATCCAAATGAACTTAAAGTGAAAAGTAATTTATTTATTTTTGAAGAAAAAAAAAAAACTCATCCAAACAGTCCGTTAGAAACCAGAACGGAGGAATGGGAAAAAAAAATATATGTGAAAAGAAAATGAAAGAAGTTATTATTCATTCAATGTTGCAGTTGAAACATTTTCCCTTTGAAAAAAGCCTGGGGTTAGTTTAAACTCTGACAGGTGCACACATGATAACAACATGTACTTTACAAGAAGTAAAAGTTCTGTCAGTCACTGTTCTTTGTTTACCGTGATGCCAAGGACTAGAAGTTAAGGAGGAACAATGGCAATGTAACAGAAAGCCATTTCTGTAGCCGTTTCAAACTGCACACAGTGGTCCTGTGAACAACGTCCAAGATCATCATCAATGAGGACTGTGATGTTGCCTGCCCTCGCACAGGCTGCACCAAATGTAAGTGTGGAAGTGATCTTCTGAAATTCTTATTGCACCATTTTCAGAGGGAAAAAAAAATGTGATATCTTAAGGTATTGGATTGAAATGTGATATCCATAGTTGAATATTGGCCTGAATGTACCGAACACTTGAGCAGTGGAATATTGTAATGGGAGTGGAGAATTAATCACATAAATAACCTAATTCTCCCTTTTACAACAATTTCACGTAACCTAGTTCTCCCTTTCACAACAAGTTGACATCCAAATGATGATAAGATAAAAGTTGGAAATCCAAGACAATGATCATAATGCGACATTTTTCTTGGAAAATTAGTAATGCGATACGGTATAAGGGGTTAATATTTTATGAAAACAAAGAGGATAAATTTTTTTTTATCAGGAAAATACAATTACTAAAAATTTGGTGGGAAAATGAGGTTTGATAGGGAAATTGAAAAAAAGTTGTTTGGTTGGTCAAAATTTAGCTAGAAAAATTTGGTTAAATTTACTGAGTCTATGTTTGGTTAGAAGTAAAAAATTAATGGAAAAATAACTTGAAATTACGAAATAAACCACGTGCAACTCGATTTGGTCCTCAACAGGTCTCACTTTTGTGCTATAGCAGAGGGTATTTTTGACATATAAATAGTCCCCTTTCTTCCATTAGCATAGGAAACTTGAAATACCATCTTGCAAAGGGTCTTTCTCAACAGTGTTTTTTCCCATTTTTACACACAGATGTAAATGGCTAGGCAACACGATGCATGGGAAAAATTTCCAAAAACTTTAACTAAACAAGGAAATCCAAAAAAAAAAAGACACAATCAGATGAATAGATAAATTCTACAAAAACCTGAAACAAACACCCCCTAATATCCAGCTACGAAAACTATCATTCTATGTCCTCTCAATGGTTAGATAGATTTTAATAAAATGTTAAAACTTATCAGAAAAACTGTATATAAGAAAAGTGGTATTTGCAGTTAAACAAATCATCTTCTTTCAAATCAATTTTCAAATTCTGACATATTCAACAATGTTAAGACATCTTCATGTAACAGAGACCTATGTAGTTAGTTGCAAGACAAGAGTACTTGCACGGTGGTCTAGCAGAGTCATCTCAGTGCAATCAACACAATGCCCGTAAACTGGAACAGTGATCAAAGTGTTAAGTTTGGACAAAAAAAATTACCAGACTGTCATGTTAATAGTAAATTTTACCAAAATGCCACGCGGCATAATTCGCTACACAGTGTAACGAATTATGTATGCAAGTAATTTGCTACACAATATAGCGAAATATGCCACGTCAGAACGCACAGAACCAAAAATGCCACATGTCAAATTTTGCAAAATTCGCTACATAGGGTAGCGAATTTTGCAAAATTTGACACGTGGCATTTTTGATTCTGACGTAGCATATTTCGCTACATTGTGTAGCGAATTACTTGCATACATAATTCGCTACACTGTGTAGCGAATTATGCCGCGTGACATTTTGTCAAAATTTACTATTGACGTGGCGGTCTGGTAATTTTTTTGTCCAAATGTGACAAAATGGTCACTCTCCCCATAAAACTTTAACGAATAAAAAAGAAATAAACTCTCTCATTTTTTCCTATGTCAAAGATAGATTAAGCACGTTGCATAGCTCCATTCGACCACCAAAAAGGAACATGAACAGCATCAATTTGTTGTTCATTTATAAAAATTAAGCAAAATGTGTTGTACTTCTATCCCGATCCTTGAGAAATCATCATCCAAAACTTAGTTGATTGTACTGAAAGTTATACACTTGGCATCAGATTCATTGCCAACCAAAAAAAAAAACAAGAAATGTTTGCTCTCTTGGCTTGAGTTCTCCAAAAAACATTGGCAAACTCAAACACATTTACAGTAAATGTAATTTTGGTTATAGGGTAACAAACAAACGAGAGGTTAAAGATTTGTTTGATTGCGTTGTGTAATTTTCTTTCTTAAAACTATTTTGTAGAATAACTAATGAAATATGTGTTTTTTTATATTTTTTTGATTTTGAAAGTTAAAAGTCAAAACACAAAATAAAAATAACTCAGATATTTTCTTCTAGAAACAAAAAACAGTTATATTTTTAATTTTTTTTAACAAAATAGGTCTTATCAAATAGGTTTTTTTTTTTCTAAAAATTAAAAACCTATTTTTCAAAATAGCTATGGTTACAACAATGTTATTTTAGCTAAAATAAAGAAGAAGCACATCTTCATGTCATGATACCTTATTATCTTCACAAATTTAATTCAATATTCCTGAATTAGCTATCTATGAAAAAGTATGAGTAACTTTCAATAAAAAAATTACGGGAAATGCATATGTGCTGTTACATGAAAAAGAAATATTGTCCTGGTGAGACAATATTTTGAGAGAGAGAAAAAAATTCATGGGTCCCACAATAAAATTGTCTCCGCAGGAAAAACAAAAATATTTATGTAACATTACATATGAATTACCCAAAAATTATATTGATAACAATAGTAAAGATTACCAGAAGGCAGTGGTTACTGGTTAATGCCAAGATAAAGAGTGCAGTAGCAGCAGAGTATAGCCCATCAGTATAAAAAGTGAAAATAATCCATTTCCTAAATCAATGAAAAATATAAAAAGTATGGATACGAAAGTAAACTTATTCATAGATAGCTTTCAAAATTTTGTCATTTTGGGTTAAAAAATTATGATGAAAAAAATTATTAAACTCTAAAATAAATTATAATTACAAAAATATTTTTATTTTCTCCTCAAAATAACATTATTTTAGACTCAATATATATAATTTATCTATATTACTGTAGAAAAAGATAACTCTTATTTTATAATAACAATGAGGGCCATAAGTGCATTGACAAAATTGCAATAGTTGATCGTGAACCTTGTGCTGATCTGTGACTTGCGTGTCAATATCCCAAAAGTAATGTATGGTTCAGCTACGTAACTGATAATCAGGGTCATCAACCAGTTGCAGTTCACTGTTCATATTAAGAATTTAAACTATTTTTTTCAGAAAAGTAATGCCACAAATTCTAACTCTTCTCCAGATTTTACACGGCATCATACCTAGTATTTGAAATTGAAATCCAGATATTTGTGAAGTTTCTTCCTAATATTTGAAATTGAAAGCCAGATATTTGTGAGGTTTCTTTCTTCCTTTCTAATTTTTATTTTTTTTGTTTTTAAAAGATTATTAGGTATTTTTAAAAGAAAAAAAGTTATATTTACATACTTTTTATTTACAAACTCTTACAAATTATACTATGTTTGACCGGTAATACACTACTCTTGAGTAGAGTATTACCGATCAGACATAATATAATTTGTAAAAAAAAATATTACCCTACTCTTTTTAAAAAGTTCAACCTTACCCGTTATATACTTTTTAGGGAAATTTTGAACTTTTACATTGCAAGTAAAATTTATTCACGTGGAATTTAATTTTACTGAGTCATACATGTTGATTTGTTTCTTATCTTTATACTTTATAGTCAAACACCATGTAATCATAT